GTTAAGCTTATTTTGTCATGTTTGAACATTTTCTATCATGGTAGATCCTTTTTTACCATGGTAATTTGTTTTGTGAAATATTTTATTCCAAGAAAAACTTTTTATACCATGTAAACTTCACAAAATGATTTTAATTTGTAATTACTATGATAATCCTTTTTCTAACATGTTAGGCTTGGAAAATGACATCTGAAATTTTTTATACCATAGTAGTATTTTAAAAACTGCTTTTATCCTTAATACTTTAGTAGATACTTTTCCATCATGGTAAGTGTTTTAACAATTAAGTTTTGAATATTAAATACATTTTTATGAAAAATTGATGTGAAAATTTAAAGTGTTACACATTACATATTAAAATTATCTTAAAAAATCTATTTTTATTAAAATGTTCATTGAGATAATAAATTTTTAAATAAAATAAAACACGTGGTAAAAATATTGGAGCCACTTATAGTTTTTGATTTTAAATGTGAATAAATATAATAAAATTTAAAATTTAGAATAAAATATGCTATTTAAATTTTTAAAATGCATATATATAACAAATTATCGAATAAAGCGTGTGTTGTGTATAAATTATATGATACTTCGGCTATTGATCGTGAGTATTTCACACATTTTAGATACTATTTTTTAAAATTATCATTTTAATATTTACTAATATTTTACTTTTATTAATTTTGATAATTTGTTTGGTACTTTGGTTTAAGGGAAATAAATGAAATACTTGGGATTTTAATTAAATCAATTTTTTTTTAAAATATGGCATAGAGATTAAAAGTTTATAATTTATTTTTCTTACTCTTTTTATTTTATACATCCTCTTTATTAAATTTTATAATCTTATTTATCTATTCATTCAAATTTTAAATTATTGATTTTTTTTACCTAGTCAATCTTAGGGTGTTTTTGGTTGGGGGGAAGGAGAGGGGAAATTTTCCCTTCCCTTCCCACCAAGCTCCTTCTAAATTGAGGGGGAGCTCCCCTCTCCTCCCTTGAATCAAACAAACTTTAAGAAATTGATTTACATAAAATTTTTTCAATAAAAAAAAATTCATTTACCCTTTTCATTCCTCTCAAATCCAATAGGGGATTAAATTTCTGTTGGCATGATGTCTAAAATCTATTAAATATAAAAATTGTGTTGCTTAACATCTCCTATGTTGAGATAGAATTGCCCCTTGATGCTTTCTTTTTAGGATTAAGATACATTTTTATTTTTAAAATATTTTTTGAGAAGTACCAAATACTTTAATATTTTTATTAAAATAATTTACTTATAATTATTAAAAAAATATTTTTAACTCTTTTATCAAAATTTAACATTAACTTCATACTTCAACAATAAAAATTTAATAGAAAGAATAAAATATTTCATTTCAATAATTTTAAGAGTAAAGTTATTTTAATAAAAATATTAAAATATTAAGTATTCTTTAAAAAAATAATTTAAAATAAAAATACATATTTACTGTTATTTTTGAGAAATGCATCTGGCAAAAAAAAACATCTAAGAAATGGCAGTTTACACCGTGAGTGATGACGAATGCAGATTTTATAGAATCTTGCTTTTATTTTGTGACCTCACCTTGTCTGTCATTTTGATCCCCCCTTCATGAATCAAACCACCATCCTCAATAACTGAACGACACGTGTAGTTCCCGTGGCGCCACTCACCAATGTTCTGCCGGAGCCTCATCACCCCAATAGGCCAAGGGTTACCTCCACCATTCCATGGGCGAAGAAGTTCACGGAGGACACTCCAATGAAAAACCAACAGTGATTCGCCGCTAGTCGGTGTTACCTCTCTCTGTCCCTTTATCCTTCCGTCACAATTTTTTTTTTTGGGGTAATGACCTTTGGTCACATCTTTTTAATCTAATTTGATTTTGATTTAGGTGCTTAGTAATTCACTGAATGCATTGCCTTTGTTGCCCCCGTTCCAATTTCTCACCTAATCGTAAAGCGTGGCTTTCGATTAAATCCATTGTTAAGTAATACGAACTTTAAGACAGATGTTTTTAGTAATTTTGGTAATTTAATTTATTTGAAGGGTTGAAATTTTACTGTTTAATCGTTATTTTTACTTATAAGTTAAAATTAAAATATTACACTTCATATTTAAAATAAAACTACTTTTCTATTTAAACTATAGATAAAAAATTAAAAGACTCCTCAACACTCTAAGATAAAAAATAATCATTTAATCTGTATAATTTTGGCTCAATTTAAGCTTTAACTTTTGTAATATTGTATTCTTTACAGTTTTGACTTGACTGAAATATATATAGTCTATAAACTTCAACTTAATGCAATTTAATATTTATAATTTTATTAATTTAAAATATCAATACCTAAACTTAATTAAATAATTTTATTTCTTATAATTTCATCTTATTGTCAATTTCGTCTGTGCATTTTTTTAATTGAAAGCAATTTGATTCGAGACATAACTGAAGACTAAATATAACATATCTTTTAACAAAAATTTGAATTTCAATTTATTCCCCCAACTCATCAGTTTATAATTTTATTTAAATATAAAAATAACATTTTAATTAGTTAAAATTATAGGAACACAATTGCACTATATCAAAATGAAACAAATAAATTTTAATTAATTTAAAATTATAAGAATTGAATCATATTAAATTTAAATTTAGAAATTAAATTTTAAGTGAGTTAAAATTATAAAATTTCAATAATTAATTTTTTTTAAAGAAGACCATTGAATGTCTATTAGCAAAAGGATTAATAAGCAAACAGAATTTTAAAACATTACGTAAAAATCATCTTAAATTTTAAATTTTTAAAATGTATAAAATAGATCTTAAATTTTTAAAATAATAGTAAATTAAATTTTATCATTAATTTTTTGTTAACAACATTAACGTTCACAGTCACTATTTACCATCGGCCATAATCAAAAGCTGATGTAGCAATCCCTTATTGATATGTCATTTGTTAATTAATGTCATAAACTTTAAACTATTACGTGAGTGGTGTCTTGAATTCTGAACTTTAAAATTTCAAGCAAATCATCCCACTATTTATGTATAAAATGTTAACTATTATATAAATTAAATTAGCCTTAACGTGGTTAGTCGGGGTGAATGTATCGTTGGTTGTGGCAAACAGCTTATAATTTTATAAGATGACATTTTGTACTCTTTTTGCAATGTATTTTAAACAATTAATATCTTATATTTTCATATATTATATACCTCTAATTTAATCTTATTTTGAATAATATTTACTTATTTAATAGTGAGAACTTGGGATCTCATTAGAAAAGAAGTTTAAATATAAGATGATTTTAATTAATCAATTAATTTGGTTTTTAAATTCATTCATGAAATTGTCAGCTTTTGCTTCTATTGTCTATAAAATCTTATGATACTTAAACTTTTTTTTAAATTGAATCCTAAGTTTTCACCATTAAAAAAATAAATAAATTTAAAATAAGACTAAATTAGAGTTAGAAGCATGAGATATTAATTATTTGAAAAATATTGCAAGGGGTAAAAAATTTTATTTTACAAAATTATGGATCATTTGCCACTACTAATGATGTATTGTGATGGACCATGCTCTAAAATTAATTTAGTTTACATAATAGTCAACGTTCTTTACATAAGCATAGAGATACTTTGCTTGAAATTTTAAAGTTCAAAATTCAAAACATTACTCACATAATAATTTAAGGTCTGTAACACTAATTGATAAATTACACATCAGTAAGGGACTACTATATCAACATATAACTGGGCTCACTATAAATAGTAATGATATCAATAAAAAATATAATATTAAATTTTAATTTATTATAAATTTAAAAATTTAAAATTTATTTTACATATTTTAAGAATTGAAAATTTAAGATATTTTTTATATAATATTTCATGGTTCTAACAAAAGAAAGTAAAAAAAGATAAAAAGTTCTCCTACTTGGCGGCAGCTGGCCGCACGGTCTTAGAGGAGATGACTAAAGCAGGGCATGTCGCATTAAAAATTAAAATCTAAAATTAAATAATACTAAAAAGTGAAAAGTACTCAGGGGCAACTGGGCAATAACTGATTTTTAATTTTAAATTAAATAAGAACGTGATGTGATGTGATTATCCAGAAACAAATAAAAAATTTTGGACAACAAATCAAGACAACTAATTTTAGCGTATGAGGATTAAGGAGCTTCTGGCTGGAAACGGAGGTCCGACTTACATGTGCTCGGTTTTCATGTCTTTTATTTTTGAAAATTTTTTAAAATACATTTTTTTATTATATTAAATATAAGTCAATTTTTTTATAAAAATTAAAATAACACAAATCATAATCTTAAAGTACATATATATATATATATTTTAAAATTAAATTTAATTAAAAAAGTTCTAATTTTTAGTGTTCAATAAATACAAAGTTCGGATAGCTGAGTTATTTTTTATAGTTTAAATCAGCCGAAAATCTAAACAAAAATAAGATGTAAACAGTAGCTCGATGGCTTGGTCGCCATGTAGGATTAAGGAATTTTTAAAATATATTGACTATTAGTGTAACAGAGCAACTGAGCTTTTGAGAACTCAATTTTTATTGAAATAAAAAATTATTTAAAATTAATATCTATTGTGCTTTATCACTTATTGTTTGCAGCAATTATGAAATCATCATCTTTTAAGTGATTATAAAAAAAATCAGAGATTTTATTATAAAAAAAAAAGAGTTACTGTTAATTATGCCAATCTATTGGCCCCATAAAAACATTACATAAAGTTTTGATATTTTTTTCCATAACAACTCGTCCCGACGGTAAAAGTCCGGTAATTTTAGACGCGACAGAGTTTCGATAATTTTAGACGTGACAGAGTTTTGCTGTTTTGGTTAACCTCACTTTGTCGTAGCAGTGGTAGTGGTAGTAATAATAATAATAATAAAAAGTACTCGGCCTCTCTGCCTCCGGCACTATCCAGAAGAGGCCCACAAGTCCGCACTTTTGCTATTGCCCTTTCTGAGAACATCTTACACTTTTTCTTCACGAATGTGTTCTCTCTCTCTATTCGCTCCCTCTATCTATTCCCTCTTTTTAATCTTTCTACCGTTTCCGTAATCTTCGCAGCTTTCTCAATATCTGCCATTAGTTTTCATCACAGAACGCATCTGCTCTGACCAGGTCGACTTCTGTTCTGCGACGAATCGCTTAATTTCACCCAAGAACAGCAGCAGAGTTTGACGTCTGAATCTGACTTCAGATTTCTCTTCCGATTTGGGTGCTACTATAATCATTAGTGCAATCAGGAATTGTTTTGCCTTCCTACAAAAATTATTGCATCACGTGTTTGGGTTTGGATTAGTTTTGAGATTTTTTCGGGTGAACGGATCAGTTTGGAGTTAGTGATTGCGAGATTGACTTTTCGCAGACCCACGCGTTACCCAACAGGGCAGAAGTGATCATCTTGCTGAGAAGTGGAACTGACTCCATCTAGTTTTTCATAAATTTTTGTGTCTGCAGCATAGGAGTTTGCTTCGAGTGCGCGATTTAGAAATTGTTTTGCTATTTGGGGTTTAATTAATTATTTTGGGTTTCTATATGTGGATGACTGGTTTGAGGGGCATGCCGTCTATGCGTTATACCTTCTTCACATAAAAGGCGATCTGTTACATCATTAAGAGTAAGGATGAAGAGAGGAAAAGATGATGAGAAGTTCACGGGCCCATTGTTCCCTAGACTCCACGTCAGTGATACGGATAAGGGAGGGCCAAGAGCACCTCCCAGGAATAAGATGGCCCTTTATGAACTGCTCAGTATTCCGTCTCAAAGGTTCAACCCAGGCGTTCTTCCACATGGTGATAGTAATACATTTCCCCCAGCATCTTCAGGCCAGGTATATATTGGATTCTGATTTTTCTTTTTTTGTCTCTATTCCTTGCTGCTTCCGTTCTTGGTTTTTCGAACTCATACCTGCTCTCCGATACTTAGTATTCTGCCAACTCTTCTGCTGTATTTGATTTGTTTGCATGACAATTCGCAACCAAAAGAAGTCCTCAAACTCATATGGAGTTGGAGAATTAATTAACAGGGAAATACATTTTTCAACGGGATTGCACCATCAAAACAAACTACTAGTCTTGTGGCATGAACTTTTTCAATAAATTAATTTTTAGTTAGCTCATATCTTAAGGACATTTGTTATATTCTTTGGGAAGTTCTTCTGCCCTGAATCGAGTGAAATCAGAGCTTGGGTATTGGAGGATTGCTACTATCGTGCTCTGTAGCTGGATGACTGAGTTGGTTTTATACGCATGCTTTTTCTGAGAAGGCATGTAATTTTTGATTTTACAGGGTTGGAATTTTTGTGCTTGCTTAGTTCATTCTGGCATGAGAACAGTAGTATAATTTTATTTCACCTGATACATATTTTTGATGTTCTTCTTGGAAGTATGTAGTTTTTTATAGTTTGCTGCGCAATGTGAATTGATTAGAAAATATATGTTTCTCTTTCTGAGTTTGGGAGAAACATGGTTGCAGGGGACTTGTCCAGACAGAAGTTATGCCTTTCCAGTTCATTTACCTACCCAAACACCTACTTATCGAGCTGGAAAGAACATTTCTCATCAATCTGATGGGACAAATCTGAGCACTTCGTTTGCACAACTTGAACAGAGAAAGAAAATAGATGATGACTTTAGGGTTCCTGTATTTGTTCATTTGAGGAGCAGTAATTCTAGTGATAAAACTCGGAGGAGTTTTAGCGGGAATAAAATCACTCCCATGGGCTCTAGGCATTTTGCTTCTTCGGTGGATGTGCAAAACAATTGTGAAAGAGACCCAAAACTGATTGGCTCGCCTCATGTCAATGTGAGAGAGATATGAGGAGCAGTGACCATGAAGGGCTTCCAAAAGTAAGCCCAAGTAGAGACCAGGCAAAGTCGGTCAGCAAAACTATCAAAAGGAGAAAATACTGAGAGTCTGATGAGACAAGCCAGGGTGACTCCATATCAAGATTGTCATGTGGCAAGTCTTAGCAGATTACATGAAGGGGATGCTTGTATACAGCCAGAATGTGGAGTTGGATCACAATCTAATTACACTGAACATGGTGAGGGTCTTGTTGAGTCAACAAGGGATGCTGAGACGGGAAGTATCCCCTTGTCAAGAGGCTGCTTTCATTCTACAACAGATAAAAATGGTCCAATGGAGGCCACCAATAACATCGAATATCATGATACCAGGACTGGTGGTCCAATACAGAATAGCCATGTAGAAAGAAGTGAAAACTTTTCCAAGACCTCCATCGTAGATAATTTGTCGAGCACAACAATTTCTCCAGATGATGTCGTAGAAATAATAGGTCAGAAACATTTCTGGAAAGCAAGAGAGCATAGCAAGTAAGTTTTGCTGTTTGTCAGTGGCATATGTTTCTATAGCGATCTTGTCTTTTTTTGCCCACTCTTTTTATAGTATCTGATCTGTGGACTCTTTTATGTGCTTTGGCCTTATAAAATGTGTTTGTTGTTGATTTTACTGATTATCATAGTTTTTGAATGACAAAATTTCATTCCCCCCTTAATTGATGACAAGTGAAAAGGTATGGCAAATGGGAGAAAATATCCCAAAGTTACCATTGGTGGACGTTTGCCCATCGTTTGATTAGCTTTATTGCACATGTAATGATGACATACCCTCTCCTCTCCCCTTCTTCCAGCCTCTTATGTACCTGCTTGGTTAGTATATGAGATCTCAGTTTGAAAATCTGAGAAGTTTTGCCCTTGGAGAGAAGAAATGTAGGATTGAAAAAGAGTTCAAACTACTACCTATTTATTGCTGGGATCCCTTCCCCCTGTTCTTGTGCTGCTATAGATGCAGCAACGTCTTGATGCATCTCTAATTGATAATGATACTAGGGATGTGGATTTGATATTACTTTTGAAATTTGATTTAGGATTTTTGTATTTAGCCTTGAGAAGAGGAAAATATTGATAGTATTGGGGTCCCTTCTAATTTGTGTATCCAGAATCCTTACTAATATTTAATTGTGGGTACTGGATCATCTTACAGTAGGGATTAATATTGTACTGTGTTGAAGGGGGTACCCCTTGCAGAAGATCATCTCACGATTCCCTGTCCTCTAGCAGCTGGAGTATGGATATATTCCTGTCTTGGTTTCCTCTTGCTTGGTTCAACATGTGACCACTGGGGCAAGTATCTTTATGCTGCACTGAAGGGCTTGGACTAAGAAGGGGACCAAGAAATGCAGGATGATAGCTAGAAGAGAGAGTATGGTAGGGACACTTGGAGAGGAGAGTAAATGGTGAAGAGTTGTTAGATCGAGATAAAGAGTGCTTTATATATACAGTGTCATGGTTTTGCTGTGTCGGGACATTTTGGGATGGAAATTTTCCATTTTACAGTACTCGCTTTAGCTAGTTGAGACGCCCCACTGTCTGTAGTTTGTACTGGCTTATAATCAAATAGACATCTTTTATATGATTTGACGCATGTACTCCACCCTTAATAAAAGAGAAAATTATACAATATAGAGTTCTACAAAGTTTCCTGGTTAGTTGATTGTATTGACAATGCTGGATGTATCCACAATTGTACGCCCCAATGTTCTTTAGGTAGAGTCTGGTGTCTTTCATTTTGAAGCAGATATGATTAAGCTGTACTGATATCTCTTGTAATTATAAAATGCAACTCTGATATAAGTTCTCCTTTATCTTGCCTTCCATGTGAGTAATTTCATTTTAAAACATGATTGTTTATGAGCATATTTATGTCTAGTCAATGCTTGATACTTTCATTCTTCCTGTAAGAGTCAGTTTAAGATCTCTATGAGGAATGGTAATAGGGTGTGTTCTAGACTGGAAGACATCCTGCATAATCAGTTAGCAACTGCAATTGGAAATTCGAGTTTTGGGGTTTTTGGGTTATATTGTGGTCCCTGCAACGTGACAATATATAGTTCCAGATGCTGCATTATTGACTTATTTTGACTGTACGCATCTCAAAACTCATTGTATAGTGCACTTTTCTTGATCGAACTCCTGTTTCTCTCTACAGTCAGCAGAGGGTTTTGCAGTTCAAGTGTTTGAGTTGCACAGACTGATAAAGGTAAAGTTTTCTCTGATGCCAATGTGGCTTGTGCTTTATCCAAAAGCAGAAGCTGTTGGCTTTTCTTTACATGCATGCGTGCATATGGACATAAACATCAACCCTTAGTCTGTTCTCCTTTATCTTGCCTTCCATGTGAGTAATTCCATTTAAAACATGATTGTTTATGAGCATATTTATGTCTAGTCAATGCTTGATACTTTCATTCTTCCTGTAAGAGTCAGTTTAAGATCTCTATGAGGAATGGTAATAGGGTGTGTTCTAGACTGGAAGACATCCTGCATAATCAGTTAGCAACTGCAATTGGAAATTCTGAGTTTTGGTGGTTTTTGGGTTATATTGTGGTCCCTGCAACGTGACAATATATAGTTCCAGATGCTGCATTATTGACTTATTTTGACTGTACGCATCTCAAAACTCATTGTATAGTGCACTTTTCTTGATCGAACTCCTGTTTCTCTCTACAGTCAGCAGAGGGTGTTTGCAGTTCAAGTGTTTGAGTTGCACAGACTGATAAAGGTAAAGTTTTCTCTGATGCCGATGTGGCTTGTGCTTTATCCAAAAGCAGAAGCATGTTGGCTTTTCTTTAACATGCATGCGTGCATATGGACATAAACATCAACCCTTAGTCTGTTCATCCAGCTTAATTCTTCTTACTTAAAACAGGTCCAAAAGTTGATTGCGGGATCACCAGATCTTCTGCTTGAAGATGGTGCTTTTCTGGGAAAATCTCCTCCCAAGGGATCTACTCCTAAAAAACTTTCGCTGGAATATGTTGTAAAACCTCGGCCACAAAATCTTAAGGGCAAAGATGATTCTGAAAAGCAAAACCATAAACTGGAGTGTTCTGCAGAGAATGCATTGGGAAGACATCTGTTTCATCTGTGAAAAATGGGAGCCACCATTCAAATTACACCCCCTTTCTGGGAATCCACACCAGGCAAATGTAGCTGTTGACAGTAAAATGGGTCCCTGGTATTTCCATCAGTCGCCTGGCCATCAGTGGTTGATCCCTGTTATGTCTCCTTCTGAGGGGCTTGTCTACAAGCCATATCCTGGACCAGGATTCACTGGAGTGGATGGCCGAGGATTTGGGCCTTTTGGCCCAACTCCCTCGGGAGGTAATTTTATGAATCCTGCCTATGGAGTCCCAACTTCTAATCAAGGAATTGGAGTTCTGCCAGACAATCCTCCAGCTAGTTATGCTTACTTTGCTCCTTATGGCATGCCAGTTGTGAATCCAACAATGTCAGGGTCGGCTGTTGAACAGACGAACCACTGTGCAGCACCAGGCTCCGATGGCCATTTATCTGGAGAGGGAGCCAACTTTATCACTCCTAATAATCAAAGCTCTTGTGGTTTTCCTGTTCAGAGAAATGAGAGTATGTCAAATGTCATGAAAATTCAGGCATCCAACGGAAGTGAATTACAAAGAAGCACATCAAGTAGTCCTAGTGAAATGGCACAGGGAATAAGCACGGGTCAAAACTCAGATGGAAGAGATGCGCTTCCGCTCTTTCCTATGGCTCCGGCGGTTACAGAAGGAGCTCCTCAATCTCTCGAGACCAGACAACAAACTCGAGTAATCAAAGTTGTGCCTCATAATCCAAGATCTGCAACGGAATCAGCAGCTAGAATTTTCCAATCAATACAAGAAGAAAGGAAGCAGTATGATTCGGTCTAGTGCTGTTCAGTGCGTTGGACAAGTTCCTGCTCTACTTTTTGCGGAATGACATGTTGTAATTTATAACGGGATGTTACATTTTTTAAAATTTTCTTTTGGTTTTGACCTGATTACAGCTTAGTTGTATGTAGATATGTATGTTATCTCGTCAAATGTAATACTAGTTTCTGTTTTTCCCATATATCTTTTAATTAAAATATTTCTAAAAGCTTGATTAATGATAGAGCACAATAGCATCTTGCAATCCATGTAGCCGACCCCACCTAGTGGGATAAAGGCTTGTTGTTGTTGTTGTTGTATATGTTTTCTCGGGGCAATGGAAATGGATTCGACTACCCCATGGAGCAGAGAGGCCTCCCTTAGGTAATTTATGTTATTTCTTGCTGTGGTGGAAGGAAACGTGGCTTAATATCCTATTCTACTTGCTGACTGAATTCACTGTGATTAGGTGGGGATCATGTTTTTATTCATTTGCCGTAGGAGCATGCATTGGGATTTGTCTGTAATCATTAGGTATGCAGCTATGCAAGTGGATTGGTAAGATACTAGCATGATTGTCATGTTAAAATCTATTTTCATATTAACATAATTCTAAATCGTTCTATCATGTGGTAGCTCCATTCAAACTTCTTTGCGTATTTTTTTTTTTTTATTTGGATGAACCTTCTTCTTTGCGTTTTAAGACTTCTGGATTCACGTTTCTTAAGGAATCTCCAAGCGGTCCACCTTATTTTCATGCGAGTTCAACGTGGATCAGGGAAAGATAAACTTCACACTATTTCTTAATCTTCTTAATTTGTAATGTAATCTGTAATGAAAACAATTAAGCCTAAATTCAATTCTTTAATTATTACTCAATCTATATATCAATAATCAATCTATATATATATATGTGTGTGTGTGTATGTATCATAAAATTTATAAAAAGCTAACGTTATTTATAAGTTGTAAATAGGCTCATTCATTTCAGGGGAGGCCTTCATTTGCTTTTAACATCTTTTGGAGGAGAAATTTTTATGGCTAGCAGCCTAGTAGAAGTTTACTCTTTATGCGTGCTACCTATTCTAGTTCAAGTATCGTTATGACTATTTTGAGAATCAGACCCAATGTTGGGTGATCGACTAGAGCCATTAGCAATTCAATTTGGATTGAAAAATTATTTTCATAATTAAATCACGTTTGGCCGTAGTTGAGCCTTCGTTTAGTTAGAAACTGGAATGGTTTAAAAAAAAAAAAGGGTCAAGTTAAAACATAATATAAAATGTCTAAAAAAAATTAAAAAAAATGGATTTCAATAAAAAGTTAACTTTATTTTTTTGAACCTTCACATGTATATAGATAATTTGGAAAGTATATTTTTGAAAGGAAAATATTGACATTTAAAAGTATAAATACAATACTTTTGAACTACTCGTATTAATTTAACTTAAATCTACTTATATTTAACAAGTTTAAAAATTATATTATTAATTATCATTAATTTATGAATGTTGCATATTTTTTATTTTTTTAAAAACTAAATATAATGTGGATTTATTTTTTTCACACACACACACACCACTATATCTATTTAATATTTTTAAATTAATTTTTATTTAATCATTATATTATTGGTTAAACAATAAAAATAAAGACCGACCTTGAGTAGAAATGTGATTTCAAATAACAAAACCCAATTGATGCACATTGACATGAGTGCACACATAATTGTAAACAAGGTTAAGGGTTACAAATATTCTTGAAATATATACAAAGGTTCACAAATGATCTTGAACTTAACTATAGGTTATTTTTATTTCTCAACTTTCAAAGATTTTTTATTTTATCATTCTACTATTTCTCTCATTAATTTTTTTGTTAGTAGGGCATATTTTTTATTTTTAAATATTTTTATTATAAAATATTACACAGTGAGCCCCACATTAATTTTTTTAATATTTTTAATCCTCTCCTTCTTTCTCTTCTCTCCCTCTCCTCTCTTCCCCCTTCATTTTCTCTCTCATGAGTCTATGCAAGATACAACCTATTCATGCATTCTCATTCGTATGGCTATTCATGCATTCTCATTCTCATGAAGCCTATTTGTGCATTCTCATTCTCCCGAGTCCATAAGAAACCACGTGGTGCTTTTATCGCCATGGTTATTGCCATGCAAAAAGGTTTAGGATTCTCACCGGCGGCATCATTGCGATCGTCATCTCTGCAATTTTCAAAGCTCACTTTTTGAGACCTTTGTATAAGATGAATCCAAGTTTATTTGTAGTTCCAGAACTCGATTATATATGGATATTCATTCTCACGTCCAGTGCTGCACCGACAATTTTCAAAGAGTTGTTTATTCTCGATATTCCATGGTAGAGACGACCTTATGGCACGGGCTTGGACAACAGCCAGTAAGTCTAAAAGAGTAAAAAATGAGATGAATGGTCTTGCAGATTCTTGATAGTGGCTCATCTCAAAACAGCTTCTTGAGATAGCCTATTCGTGTAAGAAAAATAAGAGGAAGCAGAAGATTAAGGCTCTGTTTTATGTGAACTAAAGAGAGATGATGAGGGGGTTATTGGTGGTGAGGGAAGAAGATCGAAAATACCTGTCGATGAGGCAAGATAGATGGATGGAGATTGAGTTAGGAGAGCTTGCTCTATTTTATGACTATAAAATAGAGCACGATGGCAGAAGTTGTTATTAAGGCCACCCTCTTCTTAGTAATGAGTTGTATCCCATTGTTGCTAGTAATGTTGCCTACAACAAGCAAGTTACTTAGATCTAGAAAAAAGTCATATCCTCTTAGGAACACGCATGTTACTGCAATTAATGAATATATGTTACAGAGTGATTCTCAAGATTAGGAGGCGTAACCTTGTCGGTTACATGATCTTGTTTGAGTAACACTACTACAGAAAGGTGTATAATTGACGCCCTATAATTGATGTTTATTTGAAAAAAAACGATAAATAAAAAAGGCGGATAATACTTGACGGTTTTACGAAACAAACGTCAAATATTTAATAAATACTTGACGGTTATTTAAAGATAACCGTCAAGTATATATTTGACATTTTTATAAATAACCGTTATATAAAGTTAAATTTACCTGTCGGTCTTTAATAAACAAATGTCAAATTAATAGTAGAAAAAATTAAATTTTTTCACATACTTGACGCTTGTTTTGAAATAACCGTTAAGTTTGTCTCCCATATACTTGACGGTTGTTTAAAAACAAGCGTCAAATATGTAATACTTGACGGTTATTATGAAATAACCGTCAAGTATTGTCATTTAAATTCTCTCTAGATTTTTTTTCGCTTTCCATTTCTGTGAATTTTTCGTCTTCAGAAACAAACTCAGAGCCACCGAAACCCATTTTTCGTCACTCTAACTGTCAAAAAATACATTTTTGGTCTCGATTCTTGAGGGATTTTGATTCTCGGCCTCTATAAGTCTCATGGGCACTCGTTCGTTTGGATTCTCGATCTCTATCACTCTGCAACAGACTCTCGTCTCTGTTTTTCTGCATAGTTGGTGTTCCCTTTTCTTATTGAGGTAGGTTTTTGCTTTCCTAATCATTAATCTTCATTTTGAATGTATGGGTTGTTGATTTTGATTTTCATATATAATAAATAATTTCTGTGTTATTTATTTTGATCTACATTGTTTTTTTTCAGTGAGTGTTTGAAGTTTTGAGTTTTTGATGCTTAATTATTGAATATTGAGGTAGGTTTTTGCTTTCCTAATATTAATCTTCATTTTGAATGTATGGGTTGTTGATTTTGATTTTCATATATAATAAATAATTTCTGTGTTATTTATTTTGATCTACATTGTTGTTCTTTTCAGTGAGTGTTTGAAGGTTTGTTAGTTTTTAGGTGCTTAATTATTGAATTAAGGGATCATCCAATTATTTTGTTGATATGAGAGCAAATTCATTAAGGATATGAAAATAGTATACCACCTAATTAACTTATTTTTAATAATTTTTGATATTTTAAATTGATATTTATATAGTGTTTGATGTGGTTTAATATGATTTTAATAAAATTGAGTTTCTTATTAAATGTTGTTATATTATTGTGTGGATCATATATAGTCTCATTATGGATAATTTGATTTTTTTAAAAGCATAAAGACTTGGTAATACTCATTTTAAACCGTTATATATACTATCAATTTTTTTTAATTATTCTTGAATATAACTTTATGTGTTTGTTTTGTTGTGGATGCTATTGTTGTTGTCGTTTAGATTAATAGGAAGAGGAGATAAGGCCCGAGAAACTCTCTTTTTTTAAGTTGTTATGCTGCCGAAATTATTTCAATGGCTAGCATTAAAATATAATTATTAGTTTTAAATAAGATTAAAGAGGGAATGTACAAACATGTGGTTAGTGACTTATTGACTAATTGATCTTTGTATCTAATTCTCCCACTATCTAGGAGTAGTCAAAGTCACTAATCATATTTGGGATCAATTTCAAGAAAGGGGAGCAGCGAAGGATACTTTATTTCTTGTTCCTTACTACCAAGGGTGAGTGTTAATATTTGTTACAAGTAAATTTTTTTTTATATTTATTTGTTTGGTAACATGTGCTGTTTCTTGTTAGGGGACACTGGATGCGTATTGTGGTTAATCCCGTGCTCCAAAAATATGGTATCCTCGATCCCCTTAATGGAGAGCCAAGCAACAGGGAAGATATGGTGGTACTTTTTATATAAGTAAGTTGATTTTTTTATTTGTTATTTTCTTTTTATTTTTAGTTTTCATTCATATATATTTCTCACATTCATTCCATAATTCCTTCTTAAAGCTGTGGTGTTGTATCGCACTGCGACCGACATGACTGTGTCCCCTAAGATGGGGGCATTCGAATCTTCAGAGAAATGGGTCACTGTTAAGGTATTCGTTTAATTGGTTAAGTTTTTAATCAAGAAATTGTCTCATTATATTTTTACAATGTTATTGATATGGTTTTTTATAGTGTCCATTCCAGCCAGATCAGAGTAATGACTGTGGTTATTGCTTGATGAAGTTTATAAAGGACATTATCACTCATTGCCCCTACCACATTATCTGACAAGGTATATATATAAAATTTAATTACACTTCAATTATAAATTTTAAATAATTTTAATTAGCTACCCATTAACTTGAAATTGTTGTAACTATTTGCTTACAGTACTTCGAGGACGTCTATTGCGTTCGTTATATGGCTGCACATGTAGAAGAGGTCCTTGAAGAGGTAGCCCAATGTGTTTTCAATATGTGGGTAACAACAGTAGTTAGGTCGGTATAATAGTTAGTTACATTTATATACACATTTTTGGGGCAATTTTTATGGGATAGGCCACTTAATTTTGAAACATTAGTTTGTAAATAAGTTTAGATTTTAAGGTTAAATGTATAGAAACTTTTATGTTAATTAGATAGGAGATACTATTACAAATATTCATTATATTGCATTATTTTCGTTGCTGGCTGGCTTTTTTTATCTTTATCTATATCTTTATGAAGGGGGCTTCTTTAAAAGCAGCCACCATATTTAAAAAAATTATGTCATTAATACTTGACGGTTATTTTAAAATAACCGTCAAGTATCAATATAGTTGACGCTTGTTTCAAAACGCGTCAAGTATTTGTAAATACTTGACGGTTATAAGGAAACAAGCGTCAAGTATTTGAAAAATACTGAAAAGTGTATATTTTCTTCATATACTTGACGGGTTTTTTCAAATAACCGTCAAGTATGAGATTAATACTTGATGGTTTTTAACCGTCAAGTATTATTTCTTTAATATATGTCACCCTTACTTGACCGTTAAAAACCGTCAAGTATTGTGAAAAATAAGCGTCAAGTATGGGTATTTTCTGTGGTAGTGTAATGAAGTGTTGAAGTACTTTAGTTGGGGTTTGTCTTCGAATAGCTTGAGAGAATTAGCTCTGAGTAAGTTACTCTTTTGAATTCTACGAATTGGGATTGTTCCATTAGGACAACTTCCACTTCTGTGCCATATTTGGGATGTAGATGACTTGGCAGAGTTTGGGATTCTGAGATGAAGCTCGATGCCATCTGCACAATCCATTCATCATTGTATTCATTAACCATATAATATCCAATTATAATTATAAAGTGCTAATTTCTAGCAAGTTAAGGATGTCGTGAGTGAAAAAGGTGTTATTTACCTGAATTTTGTAGTTTTTTAAGGAAGTATTTGGTTAGAGTGGAGGAAAGGGATTTTCCTCCCTTTGTTTGGTTTAAAAAATTGAATGTAAAATATCCCCTCCTTTTCCTTTCAAACTTGGGAGAGTGAGAGAGGAAGGGTAAAATTTGTCACATCCTAATCGATATACCCTGTGATAAGTTTAAAAAATATAGATACACTTTTTCAGTATCTCAACACTAATAAAATGAGTGTAAACTTATTCATATATAATTATTTTTTCTTCTCTCCTCTACTAAATCAAATAAGGTAATATCAAAACCTTTCTTTCTCCTCTCCTCTCTTCAAACCAAGCACACTTGAAAAATGGTCAAAAGATGGTTGTTTGTATATGTCAATGCCATCAATAATACCCGCCATCTTCACTCTGCAACAGGTAAAGAAAAAGAAAATATTAAGAATTAGAATAAATTACATCATAATAACAAAAATAATTAAATTGTACAAACATCTTGCTTTGTTAAAATTATTCAAGCATGAGAAAAAAATATTTTAATTCTACAAATAAGAAATGATAACTTAGAAAGAAATCAGAAGAGATTGTAACGTATACTTCACTAAGATTAAGTAAAAAAGAAAAGGAGGAAAAAAAAAAACTTGAATGGTCTCAACAGCTTGTTTGTTAAGGAGCTTTAATGTGGCATCAATGTCCACGTGAGATGGTGTTTCTTCCACAATGATGTGATGCTACCTTGAATAAGATTACCATTTACTCTCTCCATTTGTGTCTCATTCACTCTTCACTACCAACAACAACAATATATATATATATATATATAGAGAGAGAGAGAGAGAGCACATATTTGAGGGCATCTGGTCTAGATCCACAATTATGAAATAATAATTGATGTCATGGATGTTCTGACCCAATGTCCGAAGAATTAATCCTCTAATAAATTTTATAACGTAATTAGAATATGACAGATGTAGCATACCATTAAAAAAAAAACACGCGCGCGCGTATGGCAGACGTGCAAATGGAAAGAGGCCAGTTTTCTCCCTTTCATCTGCCTGATTTATTTAAAAATTTTTCCCTTCATTTTTTTATATATAAAAATTGAGTTTTAATTATGACGAATTCTGTGAATAAACTCGAATATGAAATTTATACAAGTAGTGTCGTTTAATTTTGAAAACAGTTTACGTATCAATATAATGGAAACATTTTGCTTGCTAACGCTTATCCGATTATTTGGCCTACTAAAATGCACTCCTAATCTGATTGGAACATCATCAAATTTTCATTTTTTTAATGGAAATACGCTTGCGCGCGCAGTTGATGACATATCCATAGCATCCATTGTAGAAAGTCGTGTGCAGTGTACTTATAAAATGTTTGAAGTGAATGAAAGTTTTGACTATTCAGTGTAATAAAAATGGAAAGAAAAAAAAAATAAGGAAAGAGATTTTCTCATTTTGATGGCTCTTGTTTTCCTGGCATTCCAGTCTTTAACGACTACTAATAATTTAATTTAGTGATACAAAAATTGCCGATTCATTTAACAGAGCCAAATATGACGGGGCACAGGATACTTTGAGACCAAATAAGAAGAATAATGACTGTTGGCCAAAACCAAAAAAAAATAAAAAATAAAAAAAATAATGACACGTTAAAACTCATCTTGAAGAGTTCATGTGAGACTTTGGCCCTTTATTAACATTTTTTTAAAAAATAGTCATTTGATTAAAATGCTCACATTTACATACAAGTTTAAGATAATGAAAGCCTTAGAATTGAGTGAAGTAATTTTTATATTTATTATTCAATTTCAAACTTCATAAATGTCCTTGTACCCTCTTAGATTGATACAACGTGTCGTTTTCACATGTAATTCTCAAATGCATTCTACAGCATAGCGTTTTGTATTTTATACTACTAGCATTTCATAAAGCATAATGTCACAATTCATGACTTTTCATGAGGTTATGGAGCTCCGAAACGTTCTAAAACCCTTTAGAAGGCTCCCGGATAAACTTAAGAGTGCTAGAGAGTGCAAGAACATTCTAAAGAAGTCTACATAACTCTAGCCTCAATATTTTAGTATTTGTCACTAAATATTTCAATGTAAATATATAGATATTGTTGTAAATATCTAGGAGAAAATTCTAGAGAATCAATTATAACTGTAGCATCGATTTAATCTCCATCATCTATTAAGGAAGTGAGAACTTTCTAAATTTAAGGGGGAGGTCTATAAATACCTAACCCCACCTCATTTGTAACCAACCCTTGAGTTCTTAAAGCAATACTGCTCTCACATTCTCCAAGCTCTCTTTCAAATATCCTTTGCCCTCAAGCTTTCCCTTTCCTCAAATTAGCCAAGCATCCTTCTTTCATACGAGTTAGGCTCACTTAACAACTTTCAGTGAAGATTGTCTAAGTGCCACACGGGTCGAAAGACTTGCCTCGTGACAATAAGGCACCTAATTCTAACGAAATTAAAATCTGGGCCAATGATGAGAGACCTAAAGGCTTGTTTGTCAGAAAGAAATTAAAATCTAAAATAAATAAATCAGAGCACTAGGGATTTTGGAATCAACCAGAATAAATAAGTTATTATTCATCATCTAAACATCTAACAAGCTAACAAATTAAAAGACTTAACCTAGGAACTAAATCATACTTCGCAGTAGTACTATGAAATGAAACAGAAATTTGTATAAGCCTGGCTTTAAGGGCACATGGGGTTTCTGCCAGGTCCTCCATAGTAGAACTCAGGATCTTCCACATAATCTCCCACGTAGCGAGCATCATAACAGAAATACTCGTCCGTGAAAGTTTGAACATAAGCTGGAGATTTCAAGCTTGGATAATTGTCATGAATTCTCATTCTTGTTACTGCACCACAGGCATAAAACAGTGGACCAGGAAACTGGCCACTACCCATTTGCGTTCCTGTATGAGGACTCGTCCCTACCCTTGTGCTGTAAACTTCACCTCCCCATTCCACTGATTCTGCATTTGACTTCATTGCTGAGAATAGCTCTGGTGGCCAATAACCTATGTTCTTCTCCTCATTGTACTGTAACCACCATTTGTTTGTGTACGTATCCTAAGCCAAACTCAGTAACATCAGATAATTTGTTTTAGGGAATCTAATTCTGAAGCTGCAGTAACAGTTATTGCGTCTCACTTTGTAGATGTAGATAGTAATCTGATATGTCAGATCACCTGGTACGGATTTTAGATGAAATGCAGCTCCCAAGGCAATCTCATTACTTGTTTGAACAAACCCAGGACACGTTAGATCGAAGCAACCTGTTTTGATTGAACCATCAACCTGCAGAATTTGGTATCCCAAAACGTTAATTCATTCTAATCAAAAGTTTTTTTTTTTTTTGGGATTGTTTTTGAGATTAACAGAGGAAACTCTTACCGTCCAGTATGCAAATAACCGAGTCTGTCTGTCTCCATACACACTCGGGTTTACCTGCAACAACAGATTTCATTGGAAAATGACACGAAAACTCAAGTGGTTAAAAGGTTAGCTTCAAAGACACACTTGAGGAAAAGATAGTGAAGTTGGTGGGTTGGTTTCGAATGCCACTTTATAGGCAACTTGAAGTGCAAGTAAGTGAGAATTACCGCCCATCCGGCTTCAATTAATTCATAGTCATTGTAAGCACCGTTTATGAGGGAGACTTGGGATGTGCTGTACTCATCGTCAGTCTCAACATAAGGATTGAATACTCTGATGTCTCCTTTACCTCCCAAGTAGCGATGTCCCAGTGTGAACAATATTGCCTTCTGATTCACATCATCAACTTCTCAATTCAGACTGTCTCTTTAAAACACCACAACAGAATATGCTTATTGCTTAATTAATTTCAGCTGTAATGATGGAAAACGTGGTTACATACAGAGTGGTTTTTTTGTTGCACTGAAGAATCGAGATTCTGAGGTTGAGAAAAGCTGGCCTTTTTCCTTCCATAGTCTTCAATGGAATGAGCCTTAAGTAGTTCTCTCTTTCGTATTCTTCTCACAGGTACTGTTCCTTCTGGACATGTCCCACTTTTCTGCCATATCTGGGAAATTTCTGTAATGGGAGACTCTTCAGTCCTCCGCTTCATCTTGGTCCTGGTTTTACTTGTGGATCTTGTTCCTTCTGATGTCTCCTTTGTTGCGTTGTAAGTTGGGGTCATCTGGAAAAATCAAGACCATATCTTCTGAGCTGGAAAACGGACAGTACTATAATTCATAAATTTTGATGTATGAAAGATGAGTTGAAGGCTGAATCACCTGAATTTTGTGATGCTTTAGGGCAGGATGATCGAATGCCGGTTGCTTGTTTATGTCTATGCAATCAATAATATCTCCATCTTCACTCTACAACAATCAGTAGCCAAAAAAAGCTTAGCATAAATGTAAGCTTCTAATGCAGGGCACTTCGAGACTCTGAGTTATGCTTTACAAAATCTGAACACTTGGCTAGAAATGAAAATTATTTGACCCCATCTGGGCTAGCTTTCATTTTCTTGGTTAAAACCTTGTTTAAAGGGCTAATTAAGAATAATTGAAGAAGATGATGATAATTAACAGAATTACCTTCATAGTTTTTAAGGAATGTTTACGAAGGTGCTTTATTTTTCTTTGAACTTCCAAAATCTTCTGCCTTGAGAACGACCCACCATTCCCGCAAGGTATACTTATCAATCCCAAAACAACCACAAGTAATCTGATTACGGTGCCATTAAAGAGTAACATCTTTCCCATTGGAATTCAAATGACAGCCTCTTCTCAATAACCCCTTAAGAATTTCAGATAAAAGAATTGAAATGGAAGGAAATAAAACCGAGACATTGTAAAGCTTTCATTTATTGGTAACAATAGACATTTGCTTAATTCACCTGTCTAGCGACTTTTGTATGGGTTGCCTTCTATATGTCATCCAACTTTTGTTTACATCACTTCTGTGAGATGATATAAATATAATCTACTTTAAAAATAAATGTCTTATTAGAAATATGATCTATAATACTATACGCATACTATACTTGCAGATATGTACTTATTTATAGTACTTAAAATTACGACACTAAAAAATGTGTTTAATAACATGTTTACTTTTACCAAAACTACTTTGGTGTATCATATGGTATCGACGTGACTAAACTGTATTTGCTGCTAGCTTGTATTAGTTCTGGGTTATGAAACTGTCTGTCCAACTGATTGGCTGAAGGGCAATTTGCATTTCATGATGATTTGGATCTGTATTTCCAGTCTCAGTACCTAAATTATCTTCAATGGTCAATGTTGATTCAAGCAGTGATTGAAGGTATTTTCTTCTTAAACTTGTGATTGGCCCAATGGCCCCGCCTCTGTAAGGGCAGAGTAAGGTCCACAAACTAGTCAATTCAATAAAAATGGCGAATCACCAAAACAATATTTTATAAATTACTCTCTTCATTTTTTCAAGACATCTTTTGGAGAGTTTTGAAGTTGCGCTCGAGAGAGAGAGAGAGAGTTTTGAAGTTACCTGTAAAACTTTTTGCAACCTTTACGCTTCATTATTTAGATGAAGAGAAAGAAGTAGAGAGAAGAAAAAGTAAGAGAAAAACTTAAAAAAATTTGTCCTATTTACAAGATTATAAGATTTGTTCTCTAATTCATGAGATCGCTGCCTATGTGGGATCATTGTTGATGTGCGATCTATAAGCACCTCTTTCAATATTTATTGGGTTTGGACTAAATTTTTCTTCTTACAAAATAAAAGAAGAAAAGGCTTTTAAAAATAATAAAAAATTATTATTTTTAAAAATTTTTCCTCCTAAGTTTCTTTTATCTCTACTTTTTCCTCCATCTAAACTAAGTTTTAAGGAGTAATTACTAACTGATTAGTTTTTTTTTTTCAAAAACGTCTATGAAAAAGAGTAGTTTTATTTATTTAAAAGAAGATGTAAGGGAGAGGAAGGGAAAGAGACAGAAAAGTGCAAATGAAAAATATTTAGAGAGAGATAATATAATTTTAAAAACTTCAACTATTTTTTTTATTTATGTTATATAAAATTGTTTTACAAAAAGAATAAAGGATGAAATTTTTGTTTCCAAACCATAATAAACATGTGGATTGGGGTCACGTAGGCAGGACAATTTGCACACTTTTTGACCTTGGAATTTGCACTTTGTCTTCTTTCCTTCCTTTCCTTTTTTACCTTGAATTTGCACGCTTTCTTCGAACCTATACAAGAAGAATGTACAAATAAGTCCAAAAGCGGGGAAAAATATCATTGCCTCCTTCCTTGGTCCATACTCCATAGTTTTGGTGAATTGGTGGCATCATCCCTTCCCTCTTCCCTCTTCCAAGAATACGATTAATAAAATTATTTCTTTCTACATTTTATCTTCTTTAATAAAATTGTCTGTTATACAGAAAAAAAGAAAGAATAAGATAAACTATTAAATAAGCGGAAATTTGTCTTGCTCCCATAGGCTATAGCCCTCACCCTTTGCGTGCTTGCTTTGATGGTTGAATTAATTAATATCATGCTATTTATATGTCATCCTCTAATATTTTGTCATAGAGGAGTGACCTATTTGTAATTTTTCCATATGAAAAATGTATGAAGACTTAATTTTGATTATTACATCTCATATCCTTCATAATTACTTTTTTGGTATCGTGAAAATAACTTATTAACCATTGCAAAGTATTTTTTTTTTCAATGACCATTACAGGGAGAAGTTGAACACTATCTAAACTTCATACAATAATAATAAATAAAAAAATCATTTACACGATTGTTGATGTTTTGAAAATCAAATCTTCAATATTGGACTCAGTGGCGGGACCAGACTTGTGAATTATTAGGGCGGGGGGATTTTTTATAAAATAAATATGTGTACATATATAATTTTTAAATATTTATTTTAATTATTTTTAAATAAAATTATAAACTAAAAATGTTTACATTATAGATATGTTTTCATCTGTCTTTAGATATTGATGTTTTAAACAAAAAATTAGGGTAGAAAATTATAAAGTTTTATAAAAAAACAATACATACCAAGCCAACAAAAAAAAAAAGACATGCATTGAAAATTGAATGTTGGACAAATTTAAACTATTATTTACTGATATTGTGTTCAAATTTGAGTCACAAAAACATTAAATACATGTTTATACAAATAGATAATTTGTATGATAATTAATTCAAGACTATTTAATTAAAAAGATTAACATGTATATATATGTTATAAATATATAGTATTTTTTCTTTTTGTTACGAAAAAGTTAATACCAAAAAAACTAAATATAATATATTTTGTTTTTATTTAAACATGTAAATATAAGAGATGGATGTTTATTGAATAACACAGTTTAGGGGGAAAAAATAGAATAACACGGTAACAAACATATGACAAATTGTGTTGGTGTAGTTGTGTTGCTTTCTGGAGTAATGACTTCACTGGACATATATATACATAACTAGGGTAAGGGGTTAGGGGGGTCAAGGTCCCTGTAAGGATCAATGTGGATCTGTCACTAATTGGACTCTATTGATGCAATTCAATTGGATCAAGCCAATGTTTGATTATGGATGTTCTTGAAAAGTTTTGGTTCAACTTGTTTGTCTTCCACTAGTTTATACTGTTACTGTTGGAGGGGAAAGTTCTTGCCCAAAATGAGATTATCTAGTTCTAATGGGGGAGTTTTTCAAGCATGGCAAAGCTCTTGGCTCCCTTTGGTTAGAGTGGATTCTAAGGTTTCATACCGTGTCTATTGTTTAGTGTGCTTAAATTACATTTAGGAAGAAGTACTTAAAAGATTGGGTGTTTTCATCCCCTTCTCCCTTAGCTAATATCTTAGTTGATGACTTGTCTAAGGTTAGGAATTCTTGGCTTTGTGTTTTCTTTGTTTCTCTGACCCCTGCCTATTTCTCCTTCTTCTTCTTTTTGGGATGTTGTTGCACTTTTTTTTTTTGTTTTTTTTATGTTATGCTATTATCTCCTTTTAATTTTGGATTACATTGCTTATTTAGTTTGGAGTTGGCTTCCCTTCATTGAGGAACCTCTTCTTCACACCTCCCAAATTTGAATTATTTAATTTAATTTAAATGATCTAAATTTAATCAGTAAAGGAAAGCCAACTTTATTTAGTTTTTAATTAATGAACCACGATGCTCGTTTGGGAGGGGGGGATAACAACAATAATATTTGATTATTGGTTTGGCTAATTGAATTGATCCAATAAAACTAATTTTAAAAATAATTATGAGAGAAATTATTGTATGGATTGAGTGTATAACGTCATTCATAATTTATCCAATAAAAACATACCATATCAAATGATTATAAATATAAATTGATTCTGTCATTAATAACAATAGAGAGATAAGAACTAAAGAGATACTTTATTCCAAAAATAAAATCATTAAAACTAATGATATATCAAATTTTATTTGATTGAACTTATGTAATATGATATATTTTTATTGGATAGATTATAAATAAGGTTGTGAACTCTCCCTTAATTTCTCCAATTATGATTAGTAATATTGCTTTAGATCTAGTTGAAAGGAATCGCTGTTTATTTCAATTCAATTCAAGCTGCAATAAAAATAAACTAATTTCATCGTCAAATGTTAAAGCACGATATTTGATTTCTGTGGGGAAATTATTGCTGAAGAACTGGAAAAAAATAATATTTACTTAAAAAGATCTTTAAAATAGTAATTATTGAGAAGGATCAAATACCAAAATATAAATTTTAAAATCCAAAATTGCCGCTTATCAAATTTCTTATATTTTGTTTGACCACGTTTCAAATTGAATTTGACTGTTAAGTTATTGGCAATGATAAATAAATAAATAAATAATGCTAACAATCAAAACAAGTGAAAAATTTCTTGTGCCTAAAAAATTCACAAGTAAGTCCTACCAAGGTAAGTTGATACTAAAAATATTTTTAAACCAATTAAAAAAATAAAATAAAATATCTAAAAATAGATATTTTTAAAATATATTGATTTAATTTTTTAAAGTAATTATTTGAAAATTATATTCAATTAATTATTTAAAAATTAATTATTTTTAACATATATTGGTTTAATTAAATTTAATACTACATTTTTCTTTTTATTAATGTGGAATTGAAATCCACACAACTTTATTTTTAAAAGATTTTTTTTAACTTATGAAGTATCGTTAATTTTAAAATATTATTAACATGTTTATATTAAGATTATAATAGTTAATTATATTTATCTCGATCCTCCATCCTAATTTTAATTCTTAGTATCGTTTATAATAAATATTATTTTTTCCAAATCCTTGGCAATAATTTTTCCTTGATTATTCTATATTCAGCTACTACATATGCAAGTTGGCGCGCTAATCATGTTTCACGATCTTTATGTGTTGCTATATGGTTCCGGATTTTCTTCCGCCATACCAAAAAATCAAGAACATAGTTCAACTTTCTTTTGCATCAAAGGCAAGTATTTTATTTTTAGTGCCTCATTCTATTCGTGACATATTTCTTTTTCTGCAATTATTATTTTTAAGGCCTATTGATCCCACTCTTGTGTAAAGCATGCTAAACTACTTCCTCCATTTTTATTTCTCAGAGAAACTATTATTTTTTTTATAAATAATACAATATATATCTTGATAAATATTTATTAAAGATTTTTTAAATTACACCTCACAATTTATATTAATAAAAAATAATTAATACATGTTTATCTTGATTAATACAAGATACTTTAGTCTATTTTTTATTTTCAAATATAATTATTATAATTAATGAATTTTTTTAAATTATATGATATAATTTTTTTATATAAAAATGGTAGGAGTATGTTTGTGTGTGCGGATTTTTTTTGAATGTAAATTAAAATTTTTTAAAAAATAAATAAATTACATAAATTTTTGGGGTGTCCCTCCTCACTTGGTCTCTCCCCCCTAAACACGTTGATGAATTGTTCGAAGTGATCGCAATGCGTTTGATGTTCGAAGCCTTTTTTTTTCCTCCTAAATTTCATTTTATTTTAGCTGAAGCAAGCTTGATTGTCGACTTAAAAATTAAATGCTATTTCCACCGATTTTATTTGCAAGACATTTTGAAATTATTAGAAATTTGGAAGACTGTTATGAATTTTTTTTTAAATCTAAGACCATCATTAAGTTCGCGATCTTCCTTCTCTGTTTTTTTTTTTTTTGGCCAACAGCGATCTTCCTTTTCAGTTCTAGTAAAATTTACATGCATAAGTTATAGCATAAATTTTTATATAATAATTTTAATTTATTTTACCCCAATTTTTAAAATAAAAATATTGAAAATTTAAATATTAAGATATTAAAGATTTTAGAGTTTTTTTTTTTCGTAAAGGGCTAAGGCAATGGTCAAATTTCTTTTAATTAAGATGCTTACAAAATCTTAAAATTCTAATATAAATTTTACAAACTGATGGTCGTTGAATGTCATTTTGCCGAGACCTTTTAAGACGCGCATCTAGTGATCTAGATCCCGACCTTGAAACATGAATCTCAATGGCAATGTGGCAGCTCGCAATATGAGGCGCAGCGGACAAACTCGGCCAAAGCCGGCGTGGAAAATGAAAAACATTCTACGTTTATCAGATTTCCCGAGTCATGCCCCATCACCCAAGTTCCTGAAAAATCCATGCTCATGGTTACCAAGCTAAATTAATTTCCCTCCTTCTGGGCCTTCTGGGCTCTCTCCCTCTCTCTCCTTCTCTCCTGCCAAGATTCATTCGCCAGACCCGGGGGAACCATTACTTTTGCAATCAATTAATTCTGAGGTTGCTGATTAGAACCTGATTTGATTTTCTCTTTGATTTCTTATCTCCATCCATTTATTTTTCTTCTTAAATAGTTGATTTGGTATATCTCGGAACTTTCTTGCTTGATTCAAAAAAAAAAAACCCATTTTAGTTAGATGCTCGGGGAGGGCTCTGTTTGAGCTAATACCCATGTGCTACAATCTTGGCCTTTCCAACAGCACATGTTTAGTCTCGTTTCGGAATACTGCTTCTACTTTTAGATCTATGTTGAACTTTATTGTTTAAGATGATAATGTTCTGACATAGACTCGGGGATTCGAAGTTTCATGTGACGACTTGTGAATCTCTTACCTACTTCCCTGTTTTTGTTCGTTTTCCAAGATTGCAATTAGGACTTTGGAATGATTCACTGCTACTGCCAACAGAGTCAACTTACTTACAGGATTGAATCTTAAAGGGGTCGGTCGGATTTGATCCTACAGAAGACAAGCTTCCGGAAGTGGTTGCTACAGTAGGTGTTTGTTTCGACGAGATGCAGTCCAGGGTTGCTGCCGTCGAAGAAGGAAAAGAAACCGCGGTTTCGACCAGAGCGAACCAATCCAAAGCCTTGCCACAGAGATTGTTGCAGCTACTTGTGCTGTTTCTTGCTCTATGTGTTGCGTTTACAGTTATCAGTATATACATGGTTAAGCATTTTGGGGTTCAGAATTTGGTCACATCTGTAAATTCCAGTCTTCAGCCTTGTTACGAGGAGCCGAATGGTCTGGAGAAATATGTTAAGCCTCCTTCAAATCTGATCCATAACATGACTGATGAACAACTATTATGGAGGGCCTCCTTTGTGCCTCGAATCAAAAAGTATCCTTTTCGAAGAGTTCCAAAGATTGCATTTATGTTCTTGACCAAGGGACCATTGCCTCTTGCACCTCTCTGGGAGAGGTTTTTTAAGGGACACGAGGGATTTTATTCGATCTATGTTCATTCATTGCCATCATTTCAAGCTAAATTCCCACCTTCATCTGCTTTTCACAACAGACAAATCCCTAGCCAGGTTCGTGAAATTCATCTCATCTTTTTAGCTTATTGTTTTATAGAAATGTGAATTGTGTATCGGATATACAATCTTAAGTTCCTTGTATGAAATTGGTGACATTTAGACAACTATCAAGCTAAATCCATGACCATTGTGCATTTTTCTATTTTTCGGCTTTAGGTATCTCATTGGTTTGAATGACAGATGTAGTCCTACAGTACAGTAAACTATCAATGGCAATGCAATTATCATTATACTGGATCATACTGAAAATACAAAGATGCTCTTAGGATTTTTGTGCACTTGGGGTCTGGGGATGATTTGGATTATGTGACAATCTGAAGAGGAGCTGGAACCTGACAACCTGTAACTACATTACCAGATTATCCATGCTTGATTGCAAAATTTAGAGTTGTCTTGAGTGGAACATTATTTGTCTCTGCAAGTCTTGTGTATTTTTAATATTTTTATGTTGACTACATGAGATTGTAAAGTGGTTGGTTGAAAAATCAGATTAACATATGTAAAGGTTGAGCTTAGTAGTGAAGATGCTTAGTACAGGACTGGCACTAAACTGTAATTTTGTGCATATATATCAGTGACTCTTGCTTAATAGAATCTGAAGCTGGCGTGTCAAAGATGGTCCAAGTGGATGGTTTGTGCATATATTAAGATTTCATGGATGTTCAGCTTCAGTACACGTATATTTTCTTGGGAGATTTAGGGGTTGCTTCTTTCCAAATGCTCTGAGAATTAACGGCCTCATATGCCTGAAGTCTTGTTCAACTACCCATGAATATAAATGCCATCTTGTCCACTGCAATGCACAGACGGTACATGGTTAGAAATAGCTGGTCACAGAAACCATCTGATAAAGTCCTACGACAAACATGAAAATTGTTTGCATTACTTCAGATGGTAGGATAACATAGAGACATCGAAGTCATTGTCTGGGTGCTTATTTTCCCTTGAAGTAAATGAGCGGTATGGAGGAAAGGCTGTCAACTTTTGCATGAAGGTTAAATTCCAAGGAATATGAACTATGAACCATGGTTTCATGAGCCTTGTGCGGTCTGTGAAGTAGTTATACCAAGAGTTTTGCCTTTTTTGGTTGTTGCACATGGGCATCCTTGTATTGGAAGTAATCTTGTTTGGGACATAGACGGGTATTAAAGGTGGGCACTTCTCCTAAATTCAAACCTTGGTTCGTTATAGGGACTAGTCTTTTCCACTTCACCCAACCCCTGCTGATGAGGGTTTTGCTTAATTGTTAAGTAGTGAGTTGGGTTTCATGCATGCATCTCATTTATTGTTGTTGAACTTGATGACTTTGGCCTGATCTACTCACCCTTGTGAAGAAAATTTGTGCTTGAATGATGAAGAGCCTGCTTCTATTTTCCTTACCCTGGAGTGTTTTGTAAGAATATTGAAGATGCATTAAGTTGATATTAGTTTCCAGTTAGCATTAATTTTCTTCTGGTGTAACTATCTGAAGTCTGGATATTTTGCACAAGATTTTCATCATTCTAAAAACTCATTGGATGCATGCTGTTTCTGGTGCAGATTTCTGAGTGGGGAAGGATGAGCATGTGCGATGCTGAAAGAAGACTACTTGCTAATGCATTACTTGATATTTCCAATGAGCGGTTTGTTTTGCTGTCCGAATCATGCGTCCCGGTCTATAGTTTTAGTGTCATCTACAATTACATAATGCGATCAAAATACAGCTTCATGGGAGCATTTGATGATCCTGGGCCATTTGGCAGAGGTCGCTATAACGAGCACATGTCTCCTGATGTGAATATCACAGATTGGCGTAAGGGGTCTCAATGGTTTGAAGTAAATCGGAAACTTGCTATCAACATAGTTGAGGACACTAGATTTTATACAAAATTTGAGCAATATTGTAGACCGGCTTGCTACGTGGACGAGCACTATTTCCCAACGATGCTGACCATTGAAGCAGGGAATATGTTGGCGAATAGGAGCGTGACTTGGGTGGACTGGTCCAGAGGAGGAGCTCACCCAGCCACCTTTGGAGGATCAGACATCACAGAGGAGTTTTTCAGAAGGGTTCGTGAAGGTCATCGCTGCCTTTATAACAATCGAAACTCTTCCGTTTGTTTTCTTTTTGCCAGAAAATTTGCTCCCAGTGCTTTGGAACCTCTGCTACACATTGCACCCAAAGTTTTGGGCTTCTGATCCATATTCTTATTATTCATTACAAATATAGGGAATTATATGGATTTCGAAATCAGATTTTTTTTTTTTTACGTGTTTTTCTTTCAAGTTGCCCCATGCATATTGGTTGTTGGTAGTAATATAACCTCACTTTTTTTTTTTTGATTGAGTATTTTGTCCATGCCTTTTCTTGAGGCCTAAATATCTTTATTGACTGTACTGTTCATAACGGAAATGCTTGATTTCTCATCACATTCGACTATTTCAGCCAAATTTATGTTCAATATTGAGCGAGGGTTTGATGTGATTTATTCCTTTTGTGCTATTTCAATTCCGAATGGTGTATCTAGTCTGCTTCGTTGTTGAGTGAGTGTGAATACTGAATAATAATATATGGGGCATGTCTTCGTTACCCATAATCTCTCTATAATCACTTATAAATTGTTCATCTGGGTAATGGAATCTTACGCGTATAGCTGTCCTCGTCCATAAGTCAAAACTAATCTTAAGTTGCATTTAAAGCAGAATTATGGCAATTCAGCACCAAAACTCGAACAACGATCACAATTCAGGCTTGCCGTGAGGTGAGGAGTGGACGAACAAGGTTCTGTCTCTACCATACGGTGGATCCAACAGTGCAGTGTCGAAGTTATTTGAGCTGGTCTCAACTCTCAAGTATATCTCTTTCATTCAGTTGATCATTTTGATTTTTTCCCCCTTGCAGACATGATACCATCTTATCAAAAATCAAAAGAGGAGAAGAAGTAAATGGAAAATGAAAAAAATACACACATTTTCACACCGTCATGTATCGGGGCCTACACTGATCATTATCTCCTTGGTAAGGAACAAGTCAAATTGTCAAATTAGGCCTGAGCCGAATAAAAAGATCCCAGAAGATTCTGTAAATTAAACCCGCTATTTACGTTACGTGGTAAGTGGTAACCCATTACTCGCTCTAGGGATGGACCCAGAAGTCCAACGTCTATTACGCTTCTAATCAGACTCACCATGATTGCAGCCATTGATAAATTTACTACTCTGGCCCACTATCATAATTCATGCCCTAACACGTGTTACTGTCTTGCATTTAGTGGAATTGAAAATCAGTAATGTTGAACGATTGATTTAATATTATGCCGATTCAAAAATAATTAAGATAAAATTTACGGGACGAAATAAAAAAAATTTGAAATAGGACAAAATATAAAATTATTATTAAGATATTTCATCTTGTTCCAAATATCATATATATATATATATATTATTTTTTATTTTAAAAATATACATTAAATATATTAATTATATTAATATAATTTATATTAATATTAATTATATCAATTATAATTTCAATACTTACAATCTTATATAAAATTAAAAATTTTTATATTGATAATTTTAATGATATAAATAAACAGTGCGATATCTTTTTTATAATATATTAATTATATTAATATAATTTATTTTTATATTTATTTATTTACTAACTTTTTATTTATACCATGTTTCTTATTTTATTTTTAAAAAATAATTAACTTAGCATATCTCAACTAAAATAAAAAAATAATAATTTAATATTGTGCTTGACTTGCCTGTTGTTGCTACACTTATAACTTAAAGATTACTTGTAATTACTATTATAATGTGTAATTTAATAATTGACTTTAAATTTTTTTGATTTATATATTTATTGTTTTGATTTCAAACTTAATAAATTATATGATTTGAAATTTTAATCAATGTTCTTATCTAAATCTTTTTCCAACATTGTTTAATTTATTAAAATAATGAGACATCTTGATCTCATTTTAATCACTGATGAGATAACACATGAGATAAAAATTTAGTTTTAATTTTTTTTTATATAGATATAAGATAGGGGAGTCTTAATTTCATTTCACCTTGTCTCGTGTACACCCTTGTTGAAAACCAATCCAAGCTTATGTGTCGTGACCTAAGGCCCTGTGGTCCCTTGGTTGGCAAGGTAGAAGTGAAAAAGGAAAACTGTTTCTGATATTTGTTTCATTTTTATTATTTTTAAATACCAAAATAGAAAAAAATGATGATACAAAAACTATTTGCAGTCATTTCACTGGTGTATATTCGTCTTTTTCTCATAATTTTGTGGCATAAGAAGGCATTTTCAAAACACTTATACGGCATCGTTCCAAGTCCCTTGAGCCTCTTTGTGGGGATTCGCCTGAAGGAAATAGCTGGCACTCAACCAATCGCCAGCCTGTAAATCCGGGCAGCTACCCAGACTGCCCAGTGCCCTCTTCAATCTCTCTCCTAGTCTCCCTCGTTGTACCTCCCTCCCTATTTAAACGCTCCATCTGTGCCCCTTTGGCTCGCTCTATGCAGTCTCTCAGTGGTCCAAACTGTTTCAAATCTCACAGCCCTAGAAGCTTATTCATCATCAATGGCGTTCACTCAGCAGATGCTCGTTAGCACAATAGCTGTGACCCTCACTGTCCTTTCAGTTATCAATGTTGCTCACGCTGCCGAGGCTCCGGCTCCCAGCCCCACTTCCCCTGCTGTTGTTATTTCACCATCACTCGCCTCTGGTTGTCTCGCTGCTGCTTTAGCTCTCTTCTTTGGATCTACTCTCCGGATCTAAGGTTGATTTAATCATTTTGGTATAGTTACATCAGTGTGGCAGTAATAGGGACTCATTAGTATAAATTCGTCTCTGGATTTCCCGTGCACAGATTATATAATAATATGGGTATTTGCGTATTTTTATTTCACGTGTGAATTGTTTTTGTAATATTGTACGTTTGCGTTCATAGATTGTAGTATATAATCGATTTCTGGTTATTTTTAAGTCTGATTATTTTAATCAGCGATGTCTGGTGTAGTTTATCAGTTTCTCCGGTGGAGATCATTTGGTCTTCACTAAGCTGTTTTTAAATTTTACCTTAATTTATCTGGTTGGTTTATGATCACATCAAAAAATGCCTCTGAAAAATTGGCTGCAAAGCCTTCTTCATGGAGATCAGAGGCCATAGCATTCGCCTGTGAATTCCGGCTTTTTTTTTTGGAATGGAAAATGGATCAATATAATATATTCGCCTGTGAAATGTTCGAATTCCGGATTCAAGCATTTCATGTCCGCCTCTTGTGAAACGTAATCAATTGATTTGTCAATGCAATTCGTAACCAGTAAGATAGTTGTTATACTGGTTTTCCCCCAATTTATATCGCGTGCCACGAACACAATCCAGCTCGAGACTTCTCAATCATCAATGGTGATGGTTTGCGGACAGACGGATGAATTCACGACACGAGTCCCTTATTTATGATGACATACCAAAAATTAGCATATAAATTTATTTCCTTAAATCTAAGCTGGTTATTATCATGGAAAAGAATGGACCTACAATTTCAAATGCTTTCTGTTTGATCTGTTTGATTGCCACTTTATTCTGCGGGTAACGTGTCTTCAACCAACCATTAGAGATTATTTATAGGTCATGGAATATGGGCGCACTAATTTGTGAACAGTTCTTTTACAACTTGTAATGGGTTTTGCATTCCTTAGTTGGAAGAACGGCTTATTTTGTCTGTAAGAAGTCTCCCAGTCAGCAATATATTTTCCCTCATACATTATAAAATATTTTAAATAAAATTATACATACCAATAAAAATATAAACTTCTAAAAATATTTTTTATTTAGTATTCCATTTAAAAAAATATTAAAGAGAAATAATATAATGAAAAGAGTAACATTAAAAAATTTATTAATAATAAAATTTTATTTTTTTGAAAATGTTTATATTTTGAGAAGTTAATTTTTTTAAACGGTATTATATTATTATTTATTTGTGACATGGTGTGTCGGAATCACAGGAGGAGGCACTGGGACTGGGAGTGATAGGTGAGAGGCGGAACGGACGGACTTTCCATGTTGGGTGACTTGGGTCTGCTTCGGTCCCACCATCGGACCAGATGCGGGAAAAAGATGGTGTCCATTCGTTGTGCCATTTAAGAAAAGGAGAAAGGAGGAGAGAGAAGGGGGGGGGGTTGTGAATTGATATACTAGTGCGTGAGATCATTTATATTAATGAAAAAGAGTCTGCATGTACCGTCTTGGGCTATGATGAATCTAAGATGACTATGCAGCATATTCTCTGATTAAAAAAAGATTATTAAATTTTCTCCCTTCATTTTGTCATTTTACATATACAAGTAACCATATCATTCAAACAATAAATTTTCTGTGACTAATTAATTAATTTCATATTTAATATAACGTAGATTTTTTTAGCATTTGGTCTCTATTCTCATGAATTTTGTATTTTGCTCACAATTTATTTTTTATTTAAATGCTTTGTATGCGTGTGGATAAAATTTTCACAATTTGTCAGTTTTATAAGAAAATAAATAAATACTTATAAAGTAGATAGGCACTCGCAAAATTCAATATGCTGCCTTCTGGTTAAAACAAACATTTTACACAAAGTGAGCTAAAACCAATGATTATCAGATAATCAATTCAGGGCCTTTCTTTCTTTGTTTCTTTCTTTTTTTGGGCCTTACGACTTGTTAATGATGAAACTCGCCATAACATTGTCATATGGTTAAACCATGGCCGAATGCGATGGCTGTGTCTGGAACCTTTGTTAACGTTCTCCTAAACATCTACCAAATCCATAATCTTTATAACATCGTGAGCTTCATAAATTCCAGTCGAATCACACAGAAAATGAGGCTATACACAGAGACACACACACACACCCAATTTGTAGAACTCCAGAAATACTTCTAGTATGGCAATGTTCATGCAAGGAGCTCAATTACAGATGTAAGAGTTAATATAATTCAGGAGGCAAGCACAAGTTAGCTGATGAAACCTGGTTTTTAAGTTGACAAAAAATAATCCTGGCTTCCGCAAATGCTTGCCTATCAGATGAGGCATGTCATGCTTATGCATATTATGGTTTCTCGCCGCCGAAGAGCCTTTGTCTTGTACTTGGAAGTTAGGTGGGCAGAAGAGTGATTAAGAGTTCATGGGAACAAAAACGGACATTCAAACGGTGCAAGATGGTCTAGAATGAAAATTTATCGCTAGGATAAGTTAGTGCCTCTCAATTCCATCTTCCTCTGTTTCGGGTTATGGAACTTCATTAGGGAGGCTCGGTTCCACGCAATTATTACGAGGCTGTCACTTGTTATGCCGAAGGGTTAACAATCATGAGGAGAAATCCTGTATAAATAGCTTAATAAATTGATGTAGGAGGCAGAAGAGTGCACGGTGCTCGACTTATCCTCAATAACGAAGAGCATCAACAAATTTTAGGGAGTTCTCTAGAACTCAACCTTTTTGTTGAGTGAAAATTCCATCAGAAAGTATCAGAAAAGGTTCAGGGCTTTGCCGGAGAAAATTATGAATAGTTGAATCGGGTTTGTAACTCAGCCACGTATCCAGCAATGAGGTCCATTACGTTGAAAGACCAATGCAAATATTGATGTTTGGTTCCAACCGCGTAGCTTTTGGGTTGAGGTTATTAACAGTCAATCAGTGGTTCAAAACTTGTCAAGGTAAGACACTATCTGGGGCAATTTGCTCCCCAAGCAGTCAAAATGAGGAACATTCTTTCTCCAATATAAATGTTTTGGGTTTAAGTGGCAATGTGTTGCGTAGAAGTAATTTTGGACTTGTAGGAATTAGAAAGAGATGAGGGAAAAGATGAGAGAAGAACAGAAAGATAGGTAGAGGCAGAGAGGAATGAGAGATTAAGAAGGGGTTGAGAGAAACTTAGTAACAAAAGAAATTCTATGTAGTCATTGCTGAGATAAACTACAGTTCAAATGCCTTAACATATATATAGGCTTCACCCGCTTACCTCACCCAACGGTTAATCACAGCACCGCTAAACTGTTATTCAAATCTAACTAACATTAACATTTTATAAAACTATAACACAATGGCAACTGATAATGATCTTGGTCTCATTGAAGTAACCTAAACCTGAACACAGGTATAGGAGGAAGCAAAGCAAAGAAAGCTTATTTTCACACTGACAGAAAATGAACATATGATACAGCAGCAGACGTGCACCAAAAAGAAGACACAATGTATACTTTGCTAGTATAGCTCCTAAGCTTGGATTGATGGCAAAAAGCATTGACGTTTGTGTATCCACTGTTGTGGAACTTTGAGATGCCAAAATTTACAGAGAAAATTAGATGCTACTAATCCACATCATCTTCATAAAGTACTATATGAAAACAGAGACATACTCATTGGGTGGGTACAGGAACACTGTCTTCAGTAGTCACCGACTCTGGTGGAGGAGACTTCTTTGCAAGAGCTTTGGGAAAGTCAATATCATCTTGTATACAACGCTGCTGAGGATGTGCCAAGAGTATGCACATGTGACGGAAAATGACACGCACCAACCCTTGCCCACTCTCCAAGATATAGCCTTCATATTCACTTACTTGTTCAAGGGCTTCCACAAGGGTATCATAAACTGCCTGGGGACAATTTTCAGGTCCAGGCTTGTCATGGAGATACATCACATCCAAAGTGAAAAGCCTTTGGTTTGAAGACCATTGATGTAGTGGTCGCACTGATGATCGACAATAGATGAGAATCTGAGAGAAGGATATTGCACATCAATATATCATCAATGTCAATATATATAATAAAGTAAAGCCTATTGGAAGCTACACTATTTATTAGCTATATACAGGGCTGTGTGGCTCACTTCACAGCCTAGTCAGAATTCATAGTATTGGCAGCACTTCAAAAAATCCTTGATATCAACAAATCATAAGAAACGTGCAATCACAGAGACATAACAATGAGGTCAGCCACAACCTACCACTCTGAAAATGCGATTCTGCACATGAGATTTCTTAGCTTCATGAGCAGCAACTCTGAACAAGTTAGTAAGATCTGGTTGGCTGCTGGATGAAGTAGCTAAAAGCCCCCGCATTGCAGCAATTGCAGACTCAACATCATTGCTAAATTCTTTCTTGAGCTGCAAATTATTAGAATACATGCAAAACAAGCATAATTAATCACTACTTCAAATCTCTTATTAAAAAGAAACAAATAAGAAATTAAGAATGTTCTGTAGATCCATATTACATGGAAAAAGCAAGAAATCTTTTCATTTATTAGTTACTACAATGACGATATAATGCACAAATAGCACATCAAACATCAATAAGAAGAAAGATTGGAGATATATTGTCATCACTAGGCCAAGGAAGCATGTAAAACTAAGACATTTAATGCATCCTTCAAAACAGTAACTTGTCTATTTTCGTAAATACAATATAATAGAAGCTAACATTCAGTAGGCCAAGCAACCATTTTTTCCAAATAGAAAATGATTATCAAGGGTTTCCAACTAGCAATGGATGTGTGTACTTCATGAAACTTTGAGCTTTCAAGCATATAGTGGCAATAAAGACTGCAAAGGCACCCATGAATTATAGAGATATGATTAATGTCTCAAAAATTAAAGCGCTACAAGAAAGAATAAGAGCTTATTCTTCATTTTGTCATGCCGATTTAAAAACAAGTTCCAGAAGACTTGTTTTCAAATAATAATTTTATAAGAGCAAGGTTCTAATTCTCAGCCCTTATTCAGGCTGTTTCACAATGCACTAAATCTCCTTCAGGGATATCATTCTGCCACTTTGCATATCATGTAATAATAAGCAAGACACACAGGGGGAAGAAAGTGTATCAACATAGGTTATTTCGAGTTGCTCCTATAATCCGAAAGCAAACGACTTCTTTTCCTTTAAACTATGTGCTAAGGAGTCCAGGACTAAACCCTAAATTTACTTTGCAATCGCAATCAGCAAAATAAGCATAACAAAGAGCTTGCCAATTAAAACATCGAAGATTAATGTCCCTGCACCTCCTTATTTTTCTTGGTCTGTCATTTTCTTGGGTACCAAGGACAGGAATTGAATGAAAAATAAGTAAAAACATTTGGTGCAAGAAGAAAAGAGGTGCAAGTTTTATCTGAAATTGAGAGGAAAAAAGAACGAAGGGAATATGCCGGGCACAGATTGGAAGGGAAGGGGTAAGAACGAGAAATTTCTGAGCGTCTTTGACAGCATTTGTGATAAAGAAACAGAATGGGAAAAAGGAAGTTACCCAAGAAGCAGACTTTCCGAGAGTGACGAAGGCAAAACGATGTTCAGGATTGATGGTGAGCTTGGCATTAACAAAGAGAAGGATGGCTTGCTTGATGGAGTCCAACCTGGTGAGTGGTCGGCCATTAGAACCAGTAGCCTTCAACTCGACAAGGGATTCAGGATCCACATCCACACAAATCAGTATATCTTCGTTTCTTAGGGGTCCTGATTCCAGCACATACTTGCTTGCTCTGCCTGAACTATCTCCCTCGATCCCCTCCATATTCTCTTCTTCCCTTTCTCCTTTGCCGAATCCGGGATTCGAATGGATTTTCGCAGGCTAATCGGCCATCAGATGGTGCCTCTTTAATCTCGTCTGGAACTCCTTCCTTTTTCGTATTTTAGACTTGAAAAACTCTCCCATGACTATTCTAATTTTACATGAACGAATTTTAAATATTCCAATCTTCTTTTACAAATTTTAGACTTCAAAACTTTCATTGACATATGAACGTCAAAGAAACTCCATCTATACTAAAAATAAAAAATTGGAATCTCAATTGTTTGTGTTCGAAAACTTTTACTGTATTTTCATATCAATTAAGTAAAACAAACATTCATTTAAAAACTAACAAGAGATACTAACAAAGATGATCCAACCAATAAAGATTAGATTTATGGCTTACAAAATGATCATGGGTTTAAATTTTTGTTTGCCAAGTAATTTATAAATATTTTTGAAAATATTTAGTAGACACCATCCATAAAATTTTATGCCTCGTTTGGTGCAATAGAAACGTTTTTGACAAAAATGAGAGTGGAGTTAAAAATGAAAATAAAGGAGAAATGAATTTAAAAATGTGTTTGATATCATAATAAAAATATAATATAATTTTAATTATTATATCTTTTTATAATGTAAAAAGACTTGCATGCTTTAATCTAAAAAATCCTACTCCTTGCTACCATTGTAACTGTAATCAACCAAGCATGAGAATTATATGTTTTTTTTTATTATACCACATTGATTGATTGAAGAATTGAAGAATTATATGTTATTTTTATTATATCATATTGATTGAAGAATTATTATGTTTTAAACAAAAAGAAAGGAAGAAAATTTTAAATTGAAGATTAGAGGAATCCATTTGATTTTTTAAGCTCATGGGTGTTGAAATTTTTAAAGTGGTTTGAATTTTATCTTTTTCCCAAATGCGTCAAAAGGATCTAAAATATTGTCTTCCCATCTACAGCGTCATTTATACAATTGCAATGTTGAAGGGACTACATGGTTAAACCCTTCCCCCAACCTAGATTTGTTGGTGAAGGGACTGCATAGCCTAAACCTCCCTATAGATGTTCCCTGGGTCATTGATTTTATGAGTCGTATTTCAAATGAGAGAGGAAATGTGCAAGGAAAGATTGTGGTACTTAAAACCATTGTAAATTCTTATTGTTGCAAATAGAGAATTGAAGAACAAGAGTTAGAGCAGGAATCATCTCCATTCAGTGTCATTCTCGTCGAAGTCATCATCATTCAGCATCGTCCTCATCAAAGTCACCACAGTTGCTGCGATGGTCCTCTTCATCATTTTCAATGGCAATAAAAATGGAGAGATGGCAACGGGGCAAGACCGTCAGACTTAAAATTGTGATGGAAGTGGAATTGGGTTTCATGGGAGTAGGTGTGGAAGTGGATTCCATCAATTTTGATGGAAGTAAAGTCAATTCAAACATACCAAATACATGAAATATGAGCTTCCAGTTTCAATTTCACTTCTCTAGCCTCAATTCACTCCCACCAAAGGGGACATTAGGGAATGTGCCATCACTGTCGTGCGAACCAAATAGAAACAAGAGAACATCTTTGGTTGTTCTGTGATTTTAGTAGAGCCTTATGCATGGTTTACAGTATACACCTAGATTTAATGACGATATAGATCATCAAATAAAAGTCTAAAGCTTAAATCATGGTTGCAATGCTGCCTCAGGGACTCTGATTTCTTCACATGGCAGAAGAGGACTATGATCGTGGGTCACAATTTTTCATTTATCTGGGAGGTAAGAAACAAAAAACATGAAAACCACACGTCCCGATCTACTGCCGAACTCAATAATCTTGTCCATATGATGAATCAAGCTGTGAAGAAAGAAACGCATTCATAGGGATAGATACAGACATATTGGGATTCCTCATGCGAGAAATACCTTTATTACTATTCAATATACTTAATAGGGAATTGACCTCGGAGAAATTGCATCACATAGACAAAGGGAGGTGGAAATATCGAAATGATTATCTATAGTAATGGTCAATTAATTCTGGCAAATGGCTACGGAACCAAGGAAACAATGACTTTAAGAAAATGTCACTCTTTATGTTTTGCTGAATTATCATGCGGGAATCCGGTCCATCAAAGTCTCTTTAATTGCATATCATCTTCAGGAGAAATCCATATGGAGTACCTAATTTTGTGCAAACTAAAATTTCGCTGTTGTTTTTAGGTATCCAAATACAATTTTTATTTATTTTTATCTTCTTTGTTTTGGGTAGAAGAACGGGGAATAGGACCCAAACAGAACTGAACAGAAAACTTTCTCGAGCTTTGTCAACATGGAACCTTATTTTTTATCGTTTACCTAGCTTTCATGAGAGGTTCATTCGTTCGTTCATTCATTGTGATCCATTAGTATGGCCAAAGAGAAACCAGATATTTCCAAAACGGTGGATCCTGGCTTTTAGGAGCGCAAGTCAGATTCCAATCATCATTTCGTTGATCCTCCATGGCTCTTAGACGACAACCACCACCTCAGATGCAAAACCAGATTAAGAAAGTGTTCATGGTATTCCATGTGAAAAAAAGGGGAACATCTTGAGAGATTGATGTAGCTGCCTTAAATTTGAAGGTAACCATAATTTGATAGGTGGCCTCCAATCGTGAACAGGCAGCTTATTACATATAGGCACCGTGCAAAAGGTGGCTTGTTTAGACAATAATCAACAAACACCCGTGTCTGACTTGAGTGCCAACTACACCACACATAAAAACAAAAACAAAAATACTGAATTTGAATTTCACCAGATATTGTGTCTTGAAACTAAAGAGAAACATGTTTCAAGGATCTTCGTCCGGTTTTCGATTTTGGCTCCAAGCGGCAGTCAGGTGGCTATCGAATCAGCCCCTGCTGCTGACTCTACTATGAAGCCATTCTTCCCTCTATCGCCTGTGGAATTGCTACCTCATCAATTACTAACAGACCAAATTATTGAGTTCAAGATATGAGAATGTAGCCCTAAACACGCAGAACTACGCAGCGGCTGAGGGATCGATCGACTCAGCCTGAGATGCGACTCCATCGAGTGGTATTCAGTGGCTTTTAAATACTCAACGAAGAAACCCTAAAGCATTCGAGAATTTACCATAATACCACCACATGGCCTGGCTCACTATAGTCCGTTGCTCCGATATTGGGCCTGGGCACTGTCCGGGACAACATTGGGCCTAGACCATGTTGTTGCAGGGAAGCTAGAAATGTCAGTAGAATAAAAATTACAAGACGCCGTGTCTGACTTCTCGTCACCCGTTGGGTTGGTGAGGTGCTGTTGCTGTCCGATTCCTAACCGCGTTTTCTGGGGCTTGAGAGTTGAGAAGAGAGAGCCTGCATTGAGATCGAGTCTGTTCGGTTTGACTGTGGACTGGTTAGATGAGAGATTCTTTATTTTATTTTTGACTTTGCGGTTTTTGTTTTGGTTCAGCTCGAGTGTTCTACGTTAAATATATTGAAGAAACTAAAAAATACATTACTCGTGCATTTCTATTTTCTTATTCTCCTGGGCATTTCGCTCTCGTCATCATTCACTCCTGCTTCTTTGCGAAGCATTGAAGCTTTTGGTTATTTTTCTTTTTTCTTTTTCTTTTCTAAATCAGTTTCGGTCGATCCGCTTTAGAATTTCGGGACGATGAACTCTGCCACATGTTCTGGGGTTAGTCCTGCCATCAGCTTACGTGATTCCAGTCTTCATCGTTTGGATCGTCAATTTTCTGTGTAAGTCGCTGCTGATGAGTTATTCTATTAAATAATATTGACATATTTATCTGTCTTTCTTCCAAGACTGATCTGGAGAAATATATTGTTTGCTTTGTCAACTGTTCATTTCGATTAGCGGATCATGGAATCTAAAAGCCTTTCGTAAACTCTAATTTTATACATTGCCACAATTTTATTGCCTTTTATTCTCCGAAGGGATCATGCTTTTCTGATTTTCATGGCCTTCTCCCTGTGTCGTAAGGTTTGGTTCCTCAGTTTACCAAAATTAAGACAATCAAGATATATTGTTTCGAATTATTGACTGAGAAATTTCTCTCCAAATCCTGCCCAAAAGTTTCAATGTCGAATGTGAGTTAATGATAACATGTTGGCGTAATGCCTGTAAATTATTGCAGGGTGAAGCTTGATTTTTCTTTAAAAAAACTGGTATAATCTTCTAGGATTTTAGAACTTTTAAGCTGCGGAGTTTGAAAATGTTCTAGTAGTCAGCCAATTAATATGTAGCATTTTCAATCATGTGTGGTCCTCTCATTGCCCATGTCTCAATTATTTTTTTGTCAACACTGAAGTTTTGCCGTGAAACAACTATTATATCCTCAATGGTGTTCAGTTTTCTGGATTTTGAGCTGACTGTCAGAAGCTAAATATTAACTTGATACAAACAACAACAACAACAACAAGCCTTATCCTACTAAATATTAACTTGATAAATTGATTGATTTTGCAATTAGTCACAAATATTTTAAAAAAATTGGTTACTAGTAAGTATTGTGTTGCTCTATTGCCTTTGTCATTTTAGTTACTATTTAAACATTTTAGTCACTATTTGAACTCAGTTCCTCTGTTTGCAGGCCCAGGTTTGGTACAAAAAATCTTGCATATGTCCTAGGCCACTCAGATCATAACAAGTCTGCATCTCAAGCATCCTTAATTATGTGCTGTAGCTCAGTTAATCAAAGAAACGGTATGATGGGGGGAACTGTTTGTTGGGGTCCCTTCAGCAGGAGAAACATAGTAGGTCAAACATTTTGTTCTCTGGGTACATACACTTATGATGGCCCTGCTTTAGAATCACCTTCCCATGTTATGGAAGAAAAAGTTGGGGTGCTGCTTCTCAATCTTGGAGGACCAGAGACGCTTAATGATGTTCAACCTTTCCTGTTCAATCTTTTTGCTGACCCTGTAAGTTAGTTGGCCCTTAAATGATTTATGTTTGGCCTACTTTTGTTTGCTGATACTTTTTTTGCATTGAAATAGGATATCATTCGTCTCCCAAGGTTGTTCAGGTTTCTACAGCAACCATTGGCAAAGTTAATTTCTGTGCTTCGGGCACCTAAATCCAAGGAAGGATATGCTGCTATTGGAGGTGGCTCCCCTTTAAGAAAAATTACGGACAAACAGGTGGACTGCACTTTCTGTTCCTTTGCCTTTTTTTCTTTTCTGGCTTTCCTATAATCTTGAACCTTCACTGAGAGGAATACTATTGTTCCCCTTGATGTCTATCCAACATTCTGCTGATTAATGGTTTTGAATGTATTTGATGTTGGCTATGACATTCTTATCATTTAAGGCACTCTTGCAGGCACATGCACTTAAAATGGCTTTAGAAGTAAAGGGCCTTTCTGCTAATGTTTATGTTGGAATGCGGTACTGGCATCCATTCACTGAAGAAGCTGTTCAACAAGTAAGTCCATGCTTCACTGGGTGGTATTTTGTAATTTTATTGTCCCCATATTGTCCTTATATTTCCTGTGCGTCGTTGTTTTCTTTCTGAAATGAATTACAGGGTAAATAATAAGGATTTAAAATACGTATTCTGATATCCAATTCATTAGCTGAGATTTGAATATAAAATTAAGAAGCTTGTTATGCATATGCCTGACAGATTAAGAGGGATGGGATTACAAAGCTTGTGGTGCTGCCTCTCTATCCCCAGTTTTCTATTTCGACCACTGGATCAAGCATCCGTGTTCTCCAACAAGCATTAAGGTGCATATAACTCCCCTAACATCTCCTAGTCAAATCTGCAAAAAATTTAATTTAAATTTAAAATATACTAATACCTGATTTATTCAATTGTCAGGGAAGATAAATATCTGTCCAGTCTGCCTGTTTCTATTATAAACTCTTGGTATCAACGAGAAGGTTACATTAAGTCAATGGCGGATTTAATTGAGGAAGAGCTTCAGACTTTTGCTGAACCTAAGGAGGTAGGCTTTATTTTTTCGTTGATTGAATTAACACAGTTCTCTTGAGGCAATAAGTGTGAAACTTTTATTATATGGACTTGTTAACTTAGGTAATTTTATATGTTTGACTCCAAATTGATCCATGGTTTGTCTTGCTTTTTTGTTATATTAGGTAATGGTATTTTTTAGTGCCCATGGGGTACCTGTCAGTTATGTTGAAGATGCTGGTGATCCATATCGAGATCAAATGGAGGAATGCATTTTCTTGATCATGCAGGAGTTGAAAGCTAGAGGAATCAATAATGAGCACACTCTTGCTTATCAGGTCTATTGTTATATTTGAGCACTATATTCTCATATCGCTTCTCATTTATCAAGTTGGCTAATATTGCTTGCTTGCTTGATTTTTACTGTCTGCTTATATTCTTGCTTCATTGTTCTAACTCTCTTTCTGGCTATTGTCATTCTTTTTGTTGGATTAATTTCCAGAGCCGAGTAGGTCCTGTACAGTGGCTGAAACCATACACAGATGAAGTTCTCGTTGAACTTGGCCAGAAAGGTGTGAGGAGTCTGTTGGCAGTTCCTGTAAGGTAAGGTTATTATTGGCATCTCACTTTTAAGTCCTATGGAATGAGTTTCTAGGTTTTGAGTTTTGACATAGCACTCTTATTAGAACACAGGAATTTCCATTTTAAACTTTTTCCTTTATAAATATAAGATAATGAAGTAGTTTTAATTTTAAAATTTCAGATAGCTAAGGACTAGCTATATTCTTCAAAATATCTTCATTTACAAAATACAACTAAATTGGCAGTTTCAAGATTTTAAGTGACAACTCAATATTAGAACATTTTATTGTTTATTTTAGATGTGTTAGTTAATGAGTAGATTAATTGTAGACACCAAGAGACCAAACTTCTGCAAAGATAATGTATGAATTAAAAGTTTTTTGGGGTTAAAATAGTTTGTTTCTCTTTTATCCCAGCTTTGTGAGCGAGCACATTGAGACCCTTGAAGAAATTGATATGGAGTACAAGCATTTGGCTCTTGAATCTGGTATCAAGAATTGGGGACGTGTTCCTGCTCTTGGTACCAATTCATCCTTCATTATAGATCTGGCAGATGCGGTAATAGAAGCTCTCCCTTCAGCCACAGCCATGTATTCGCCCACTGGCTCCTCAGAAGTCGTTGAGCATAATGATCCTGTAAGATATATAATCAAAATGTTCTGCGGTTCAATCTTGGCATTCATCCTGCTTTTGTCACCCAAAATGATTACGGCATTCAGAAATCTCATCTAAAAGGATTAAAGACTGCCTGCTGACTTTGATGACGCTGAGGGCGTATAGTTGAAGCTTTTGCTAATAGATGACGGGTATACGTGTTTTCTTCAATTCCTTGGATCCTCCAATAGACACAGCCGAGATGCCCAAAAAAAAAAAAAATCAGTAATTTCACCCTCTTTTTTGAATCTTTTTCCTTGGTATAGTTTTTCTTATCATCAATGGCGAGTTGTTTTAGTGATAGCATCACCTTCCTTACTTGGAATAAGTTTTGAGTTCAAATCTAGCATTGACATGTTTATGTGCGGGTGGGTATGTGCTTCTCTTTTCTATGAGGAAGGGCTAGTTTAAGGGTGATTTTTTAAAAAAAAAAAAAGTTTTCTTACACTTTTTCTAATTTTTTGTAAGCAATGAACTTCCTTATGATTCATCAAATAAGAATCACTTTGCATTGTTGTTAGTTATCTGTCTTCCAACTTCAATATCTTGGCGCACCGGTTTTTTTTTTTTTTTTTAACCGTTCAATGAGCAAGAGAAAAGCATCAGGCCTTGTTTGGTGCTATGGAATTGGGCTTATGAGAAGTTGAATTGGAATGAAATTTTAATGGTTTGGTACGCATCAATTAAGATTCCTCATGGAATTCGATTCTGCCAAAAAACCTCAGAATCCAATTCCATCATCCAGATGATGGAATTGGGCTATTCCATGGAATTATTGTCACTATCCTTCATCGTCTGCAAGTCCCACCCTCACTATCTCTGCCCACGCACCGCCTATGACATCATGGCTTGAGGAATCCTTCTTCCTATCATCACGGCGCCCATGGCCACTACTAGTATGCCTCTTGCCCTTGCGATCTCGGCCACTGTCAGAGTTGGGTTAAGACCTTGAATTATCAAATGGGTATTGCATCTTACCCTCAACCAAATTCAACTTCAACATTGGATGAGAGGATGAGGAATCTTCACCATCATCGAGAAAGAGTTAAGTGAAGTAGTCGGCATTGGTGGAGTCGCTGACATCGGTGAAGGCAGGAGCAACTCTGGTGGTGGGGCTAGAGGAGGAAGGGAAGTGGCTCATGTAAGTGTGGAGGAGAGGCTATGAGTGGTGGCTGTAGGAAAGAGAGTTGACGCCATTAGGAGGAAGGTAATGGAAAGTGGGACGAAGGTAACAGTGGCGAGAATTGCTGACTTGCTGTAAATGGTGAGAGTGCGAGGCTTTCTTTCCTTTTTGAAGCAAGAGCATTTTGGTATTTTTCATATTTTGCGGGGTGGGAATATATATATATATATATATTACTATTACAATTATATTATGATTCTATTTTTATACTAAACAAACTTTTATAACTTAATTTTATTTTGATTTCAATTCTAATTTTATAAAAAACTTCTTTTATGATACCAAATGGGCCATAGGTGTTACATACCATATAAAATATAATCTTTGTCGTATAACAGTCAAGGATGTTAACACATCATGTGAATGTTATAAAACAACGAGTGACTAGTTCGATTGGAGTTTGAAAACACTGGTGTCCACCTTTCTTAGGGCCCACATAACGTGTGACTTCATGTCATTGGTTATTGGATAAATAAGTTCCCATGGGATTGTATCATGCAATTTTTACACTGGCCTTATAAGTCAATTCAAACGACTAACCATACCTTTTTGTGTGATTGTCAATGGCCACTTTTTGCTTACTCAATGAGAATCAAACAAAACGCATTTGAAGTAGTCATCGGCCTCTCGATGGACCTCGTAAGTCAGCTCAGACCTGTTACATGAAGTAGGGTTGCGGATCGTGATCGGTGTAAGCGCAAGTTCCCAGAGCTTTTGTGATGTTTGCCTGAATTATAGGAATTTATTTGGAATGAGATTTATCAGCCTCATTACACAGAAAAAGAATAAACAGGGATATATCAATATAAAAACAGGGATATATCAATATATATATATATATATATATATTATTGAAGACTTGTCTTTGTCTTTTTGGAAGTCAAACTAGACAGACAGCCTAAGGTAACTCATTCCAAGGAACCAAGAACCTTGATTTTCTAATTAAGCATCTTAAAATTTAAATATGTGACCCTCCACAGGTAAACATGTGATAATGGTTGTCCATCGCATCAGTTTGTTTCCTTGGCTGAAGGCGTGCACTTACTGGATTTTCCAGCTTTTATCGATGAGCTTCTGTTAGATCATGAACAAGGTTAAATGTATTTTTTTAAAATAAAAAACTGTGAAGAACGAGGGGGGAAAAGGTGAAATTAATCTCTGTGAACTTATTTATAAACATGTATATAAACACAGAGAGACAACGAATATTTCATGTAAATAGGTGCTGCTCATTAGCTCAGCCTGTTGGTAATTAGAGTCCTAGTTTGACATCCTCTGTTTGTTTAGAGATAACCCAAAGGGGCCTGGGGCGCAATCGCCTCTGCTGCAGAGATGTTAACAGTCTAGCATTGGCATGAACACTAAATAATCAACCGTAAAATATCTCAGAAATTATCACTCATAAACATTAATTCCAGCACCAGTTGTCTGGAATAAGAGAAATTGGTTACGCAAAAAAAACTAGCGCACCACAACTAATGAGTCAACCATAGGGTCTCATTTATTCCCAGTCTAATCAGCATACATAAGAAGTTTATAGAAGTAATTGCATGTCCAAAAGGTCTAAAATTCCACAAAAGCTGAGCAGAACGACAAACAAAAAATAACATGCCCGGATGTGATATGTGATTTGTAACATTCCAATACAATATTTCCTTTGCAACTTCTTCAGCAGCGCATACTACAAGTGTATTGCTTATTTAACACGAGGACACAGCTTGGCGACTAAGATATGAAGTACATAGACCTCACTTCGTCCACCACAAGAGGAAGTCCTTGCGCCTATTGATCTTCTTCTGCAGCTGGAGGAGTCCATATAGTAAGGCCTCAGCAGTTGGAGGACAACCTGGAACATATATGTCAACTGGAACTATTCTGTCACATCCTCGAACAACAGAGTAGGAGTAGTGGTAGTATCCTCCTCCATTAGCACAACTCCCCATAGAGATGACCCATCTAGGCTCCGGCATTTGGTCATAAACCCTGAAGACGAAAAGCAGTAAAATTGGAGAACCTAGTTTAAGTGCAAGATAGAATATGACTAAAGTTCCAAGAATCCAAGGTGAAACTGAAAATAGCATGAAATTCAATTCCTGGAGAGAAAGGAGTGATTAAAACAAGGAAAACGACCATAGAAGTTAATGCCAAATCTATAGTCTAAATATCATACAGAATATGAATCAACAAGAGCAACCGAGCATGGAATCAACATGCCCAGGAATTAAAGTTTAAACCCTATAAGAATTTTTCAGTATCAAGAACAGTAAAATACATAGAATTAGTTCCTTGAGGAAGAGAGTGGTAAAAAAGATGATCACAGATGTTGACGTCAGAACTATAGTTGAAATATCTAACACCAGGTAGATAGGTTAACAGAATTACAATTGAAGTTAATGGCATCTTAGACACTCAAAAAAGTGGACAAAATGAAAGTGTTGCAGCACCTTAAAAGTGTATCAGCAAGCTCAGTGATGTTCCAGAAAAAAAAATCAGAACAGGTAAACCAAGATGACCAAACTGGAATCTTACTAAACAGGTGTGAGAACCTTGTTTTGGCACACAGTATTGACTGAATGAAAATGCTTTCTACAACCATATTCCGGCAGAGAACCCTCATAGTCACAATGGCAGAATATACTATGTGAACTAAATGGAGATTGTTCCACCATAACAAGAAGAATCCATCAAAACAAATGATACACAACATCGTTGGTTTGATTGAATATAAAGCAACATTAGAATCTATCCCATTGAAGCATAACACCAAATCTGGGAAAATCCTTCGTTAAACATGAGCATGGAGGGGGGAGGGGGAGAAGTTCACCCTTCTTGAGCAACAGGTTACCACCCATGTTTCATGAGCAATTCTTTCAGAATTATCAACAACCACGTGACAGCCTCCAAAACGCACATGAAAGCGTTGGTTAAATTTCAAGAGACTATAGGAACTATTTAGCTCCCACCCCAAGTACTGCAGATTATTCTTAGGATTCATTCACTAAAGACAAGAGGATTAAGGAAGTGATACGAGGAATAAAAACATGCACATTGCACTCCTCCCACTCTTCCCAAAAGGCCTAACTCACCAGTAATCAACACATCCCAGCAACAACAAATTCGTCACAAGGCAAACCAAATAAACGAGAGTTGCTCATAACGTTATTTATGCTCTACTTTGGTGAATGATTCGAAATCAACGACGAACATTGTTTTCTATACCACAAAGCGTAAATCAACAAAATCCTATAATTACGAGCAGGAAAAAAATTTATACATAATCCATAAACCCAGTTGACCTACGTAAGCTCCACATGAATAGTGTTCGAAATGAATCCAATGAGAACCTACTACGAAATTAAGTACACCTAAAACGAAGTAGGAAGGCCAAGATAAACATGTCATGAGAATTAAAATTTGATTTACAGAATCCAACTCCCCAAGAATGTCTCAGCAAGTAGATTCATACGAAAGGGAGTTGAAAGGAAGATAGAAATTGAAGAGAACAAGAGAGAAAGGGGGCAAGAGGTATACTTGCGGAGAGCAGGGGCCATCTTGTTGGTGAGAGTGCCAGCGACAATCATACAATCGGACTGGCGAGGGCTGGGCCTGAAAATGATGCCGAAGCGATCAAGATCGTAACGGGAGGCGCCGGTGTGCATCATTTCGACAGCGCAGCAAGCAAGACCGAAGGTCATAGGCCAGATGGAACCCCGGCGAGCCCAGTTGAGGAGATCGTCAACCTTGGAGATCACGTACTCCGCGGCCTTGGAAAGACCGGGAGGGGAGGAGGCGGATGGGGGTGGGGGCCGAACATATGGCGCCGGCGAGGCAGTGCCGGAATATGAGGCAGAGGAGAGAGAGGGGAGAGTGGTATGGAGGGAAACTATGCGTTGAGGAGACACAAGCTGCGGGAGGCGTGAGGAAGTTCGGCTGAGAAGAGCCATGGCATCCAACCGTCGCAGGGATCCGCTATGTTCCGGTCGTCCTCTCTCCTTTTTAATGTGCAACTATTTTTTCCATCTGAAGCCGACTCAAAACTGTGATTCCGGATTTCACCAGGAAAAAAAAAAGTAATAATAGTAATAATTAATAATTAATAACCAATAATAGGAAAGTTTCCAGTCCGTGTGAAAATATTACTGGCTTAAATTTTACAATTTTAAATTCATTAAAATATACAATATTAGAACATAAAAAAAGCTGTATTGCTTGTAAGATATAAGTCACGATCAGATATATTAATGCCTAAAGGAACAAGTTTTATAGAGAAAATAAAATAGAAGTGTTTGATTATGAATTTTATATTTTTTATGCCCATTATATATTGTGTGCTTATCCTAATATACACAAACAAATTATGCCAATGGTATGACATTTATTTTTAGTCTTCTGGACATTTAAAAGTGCAATTTTAAAAAAACCTAAATAATTATTTGTAGAAAATAAGGCGAGACCAATAGCCTGTTCTTCGCTCCCCCACAACAAACCCAGAGGGATCTGGAGTAAGGTATTTTTAGTAGCCCAATCTTTCTTTATCCTCAGATCCTCACCCAGCCCAATTCATTAACAACCTGATGTCCCTTGTTACATGGCAGCAGTTAGGTTTAGTTTGCTGCTAACAGAATATATATATATGTATGTATGTATGTATGTATGTATGTATGTATGTATGTCACAAACTTATTACCTTCACATAATACTGCAATAGAGCATATATCACATATTCCATAACTCAAAATACCAAAAAAAAAAAAGGGTGGTGAAATAAAAGACCCAATCTCCCCTTTGATTCCAAATAGCACATTAGAACCTTGGCGCTAGATTTTTTGTCAAGAGGTATAAGTGGCTTAAAACCTCAAATCCTGCAAAATTTTAGTTTGGCAAGACAACTACCTTGATAGATGATTGATGAACCAAATAAAGAGAGAAATTTCTAGAAAACTTGCTTAGTCTCATCAGCGAGACTGCGAGAGTATGCAGCTCTGCGTGAATTTATATTTCATATTTCAACCACACAGGGCAAAATTATTACCCCATGGGTTTACTCACCACTTTCTTTGTTATTAACTTCCCGACCAGTGTCACTGTGTCAAAATCTTCTCGGAACCTGGCCGGTCAAGAGCACCAAGATTACCATATCCTTTCGTTGATCCATTATTGAATCTTTCTCCATATTTACATCCTAAATTCGCAGAGCCATGCAACGAGAAGAAACCAGGGTGATAAAAATCATTGTCCCAGGAGCAGAGAGTCAGTCGCAGACACACAAGAATCCCTCAACTACTACAAGATTGCGTGACTGGACTATTTGTTATCTTTCACTAAATTATTTTTTATAATTTTTGTTCTATCTATTTATATTTTCCTAAACAACTAGTAATATTTTTTAATATATATTTAGATTTGTCAATCGTTAGTTCTCCTGGTGGTAACACTGCTTTCCTTTTTTGAAAAAGTTAATGAGTTCGAAACTAGCATTCACAAGTTAATGCATGTGCGTGTCTTCTAGGTTAGGAGTAATAAATTAAAAACATGTTTAAATTTCATTTTTTGTCCCTTGGAGATTTTTTTTTTTAACAAATGAAGGCGAGTGCACTAAATGCATGTGAAGAGGTATTTCCAAAATTTTAAGGCTTGTTTGGCAACCTTGTTTTTAAAATATATTATATTTGATTATTAAAAACTGCAATTATCTTGATAACTAATTATTATAAGCCACCACCATTAATCATTGATAACCATCACTATTGACTAATTTTTAATTCTAAAATATTTTTTAAATTAACACAACCAAACAAACTTTTTTATTTTTTCTTGAAAAACAATTTTAAAAATTATATTGTAAAACAATTTTTGAAAAAAAAATGAGAATAGACATCAAGCAGGTTCTTATATTTACACTCAACCATAAAATAAGGCTAAAATAGCCTTTTAACAATTTGTGTCAATTTACATCATGAACTTTGAATGGTTGAAATCATATAATTAACTCTTTTCCTTTTTTCATTTCTATAGATGATGTTTCAATTTTAAAAAAATTTCAATTTTGATAGTTCTCTGCTCGTTTTGCTCTTAAAAGTCCTTTTGGTCTTTTAAATTGGTGGAAGGTCAAATGTGAGACTAATAATTGGAAGAATGACTATTTTGGTTTGTGTTTTTCTGAGTTTGAATGATATAATTTCTTGACTGGCAATTAGTTCCTTCTAATTTGCTGGCTTTTGATGTTGTAGTTCAAAGCTGTAATGTGTTATATTTTTCTGTCCCAAATGATGGGTCACTAGCCTTTGCCTCTAGATCAAGCTCTCTTAGTCCATGTTGGTTCGTACTTTTCTCCTTCCAGCAGCCTCAAAATCCACCTCCATCATCCCCTCACTTGACTGCCTCCTTCAATCTGCTAAAAGTGCTTTCAAGCTCTCTTTTTTCTACCAAACACGGAGGATTCATTGGACCTCAATTCCCCACCTACCTTTGATCATACTAAAGATTTTTTGAAATCTCTAGAAAGCAAGAAGCATCGGCTCTTGGTCACGCTCACCATACATCTGATTAACAAGAAGTTAAAGGTTGTTCACCATTTTGTTGAAAAGTTCCAAGCTGGGGAAGCCCCTAATCCAAAGCTTCCCCATTCACAATGAGAGCTTTAGGTTCGAAGTGTCATGGTTTCAGGAAGGCCACTGCAGTTCAACGAATCAAGCAACTTGTGCACACAATGGATCCAGATTTTATTTATGCTGCAAAAACATACTTCCTGTTTCAGTTTCTAGTAAATATTTATTTTCCTTTGTTATTAAGCTTTTCTTGGCACTAATGCCATTAAGAAAGGTAGGGGACTTTAGTTGCTTGGAAATCTCTATGGAATGTTGAAATGATTGAATGAAACTCTTTTGTAACCCATCTTGAAGTTTGGTTCAATGATAAAGCATGTTTTAATTACTTGAGTTTTGTTTATGGTCCTCCATTACAATCAGATAGACACATTTCGTGGTCTTGGATTACCAATACTACACAATCCATCTTGTCCCTATGGATTTTACTCAGCAATTTTAATCAGATTAGCTATGGATGAGAAACTAAGCTCTAATCCACCCTTTTTTGATTAAGGAGTTTTTCCAATGCCTCAATAATGCCAATCTGCTTGAGCTTGTTCAACATGGGCCAATTTTCACCTGGTCAAATAACAGGGGTGTAGCTTCTTTGGTCATGGAGAAATTAGACAAAGCTTTTGACGCACACATAATTTTAAACACACCAGAAATGTACGGATATAATGCAGTACAGCGAATTAAGGTCGTCTCACATGAAACTAATGAAGAGGAATTGGCACAAACAAAAAGTTGTTCTTGTCTCAATTAAGTTATCCAATGAAGTTTCTATTAAAATGAAAAGCATGAATAAAATAAAATAAGTCAGAGAATATACCTAAGATACAATTAACAATTAAGGAGCACCTTAGATATTCTAATTCCCCTTTACACTTTGCAATTTATTTTTTTTCTTTTTTTTTTTGTTGCCCAAGGTATTCTCACAGTTGATAGTTGTGAGACTAATCCTTCAAGAAATCTGAACGCCATTTAAGAGGTTATCCTCTTTTAAGTAATATTTTTCATTCATACTTTTAGGAATTGAACTCTAAAATGATGTTTAAGGAGTCCAAATTGTTACCATCTTTGTCACATTCACTTGGTCAATTAATTTTTTTTTCTAGTCATGGCATTTCAATTCAACTTTAAAATTAAGGCTCTAAATTATATATGTATTTGTCAATTACAAAACTTATGATCTAATTATATTATGATACCTCAAGCAATTCCTAATCCAATTAGAGCCTTTAAAGATTACTTAAGGCTCTTGAGTATATGTCTATCTTAAATATAAATTGAATTAATTCTAATCTTAGGTTGCTTAATGAGTGATCTATTTGAGATTCTTGTCTATCAAAGGAAAATAACAAGATCCAAACACATACTACAATTGGCCATCCAATAGTATGAGAACATAATAAATCATATTAAGGATTAAAGCGTTTATCAAAATTGATAATTAAAAAGAAATCTATTTATAAAGCATTAAAGGTTCATAGAATTTTTAAGGATTGAAAAAAATTAGCCACTCATGGTTTTAAATATAAAAAATAACTCAAATCAACACAAAAATTAAAAAGCATAAAGAAGAATAGGAGAACACTACAATATTCACTGAAGAACTTTTTAATTGTCTTCTCAATCTTCAAGAACACCACCCAAACTTTGATTTATGCTATAGAATTGCCTTCTCAATTTCAGATCTAAACTTCTATCCTATGAGAAGCCTGCAAGAGTTTTATTTATAACTTTTTCACACCCTTTTGGCTTTTGATTTTCGTCTTATCTTATCTGATCTTATAAGATACTGTTTAATTTTGCATTTGGATTTTAAATCAGCTTCTGTCATGTGTTTTTCCTCACGTCCGCATGTGGTCGTACTCCTCTTCTCCATATTTGCACGTGGGCAAACGTCATGCCTCACCATGTTCGCGCACGGTGGACTTTTCTTCATGCAATCTCTGCGTGCGGCCGAGCCTCTAGAGGGTGGCTTTCCTTGTGCTAGCTACGTCCATGGGCAAAGAGAATTGCTTGCGGACAACTCTTTTTGAGCCTATTTCTTAGGCACTTACCATTTTTTGCCTTTCATATGTTCTTTTTGCTCCTTTTTTCTTGAAAAGGCTTAAAAATTACTAAGTGAGGTATTATAGCAAAATTTCAATCAATTTGTACATTAATCGGCAGATAAAAGAGCAAAAAATATACATTAATGTAGGTAAAATACCCACTTATTAGCTTTACCCAATTCAATTTGGTTATCTTTGTTCCCTGAAGCCTTTGTCATGAATCATGGTATAGCAGCATCCGATCATAGTCCTGTTGCCTTATATACTAGAACTCCAAAAATGAAAAAGCGCCGATTCAAAATATTTCAGAATTTCTAGTTTTTATTTGATGAATGCAATAGTATTATTAATCAATGCTTTGTTCTATA